GGGAGAGTCGAATTTGAACTAAAACAAAAACAAGGAAAAGTCTGGCACAAAATTGAGAAAGCCGCAACAAAAAAGAAAATTAAGCTGCCAAAACTGGAGATAGCCTGGGCCGATTGGGTTAAGACGCAGCCCAAATTTGAGCACATGCCAGTCAGAAATATGAAATACAAAGACGTTCAAGTGGTGCTTGGACTGGACAATGAGTACCTTATGCTACCAATATCAGACACAATAATTAAGGACTCAACAACTGGAGTGAGGGGCTTCAACACTCTGATAGGTTGGACACTCACAGGACCAGTAGAACCAAAAGATGAAGAAAAACTCCTGGACATTCAAGCTCTGCAAGCAGAAAATAGGTTGGCAGAGGAGATGAAGAGGTTCACTGATATTGAATTAACAGGGATTCAAAAGGAGCAAGAACCCAGAGATCTGCAAATTTGGAAGGAGGAGCAAGAAAAGGTCACTCATCATGATGGCGGCAGCAATACGTTTCAAAAATGCTGTGGAAAAAAGACATGGTGCCACCTGAATCAAAAGGTCAAGCAATGAGACGTATGATATACTTGGAGAAAAAGTTACAAGAGAACAAGAAGCTGAGGCAACAATACAACAATACATTCACTCAGGATCTACAAAAAGGGTACATTTGGGAAGTATCCAAGAAAGAGGTGGAAGAGTTTGAGAAAGGAAACCACTACTATCTTCCACACTTTCCAGTGTTCCACCCAGACAAACCGGAAAAAACAAGGAGGGTGATGGATGCAAAGGCAAAGAACTCAGGTATCTGCCTCAATGACCTTGTCCACACAGGTCCAAACTTAATAAATGACATTTTGGCTGTTCTTTTGCAATTCAGGATGAAAAGAGTGGCAGTCCCACTTCATTGGAGAAATAAAAGATGCATTTGAAAAATTTGAATGTTATAAAATGAATGCTGAAGATATTTATGATTTTAATCATATGGTTGGGAGAGCAATGGAGATGGTGCAGCAAGCATATTGAGTTGATGCGCCATTTTCAGGTGATACTGATCCCAGAGAAATCTTTAAAGCCTGACAAACCGGAAAAAACAAGGAGGGTGATGGATGCAAAGGCAAAGAACTCAGGTATCTGCCTCAATGACCTTGTCCACACAGGTCCAAACTTAATAAATGACATTTTGGCTGTTCTTTTGCAATTCAGGATGAAAAGAGTGGCTTTGAATGCAGATATAGCTGATTTCTTTCCTCATGTCAAGGTTGATGAAGCAGAACAAAGAATGTTAATGATGATATGGAGATTCCATCCACAGGAGGAAATTAAAACTTATGCAAGTCAGGTGCACATCTTTGGGGCAGCCTGCTCGCCAAGTATTGCTAACTTCTGCCTACAGGTTGCAGCCAAACAAGCAAAAGACAAGAAGGTTGAAGAGATCATTCAAAACAGCTTTTATGTGGATGATTTCCACACATCATTTGATACCGCCGAGGAAGCAAAAAAATATAGTGTGAAAGTTTTTAACACTTTGAAGGCGGGAGGGTTTACCCTCAACAAGTGGGTAAGTAATGATAACCGAGCTATTCCAGAAGCTTTTCAGGTTGATGAGAAGACCACAAAAAAAATCCAAAACAAAGCAGACCATACAAAAGCCTTGGGAATAAACTGGGACAAAAACAAGGATGAATTTGGAATCTCAAGAAGAGAAAAAGAAAATGACTTAAAAAACCCAGCCAAATTCCTGTCAGCTGTGGCCAGTCTATTTGATCCAATGGGAACATTTGCCTCACTGAAAGTTCAAGGTATGATAATCATGAGCGATATTTGGAGAGCAACAAAGGTATGGAAGAATCTGCTGACAGATCAGATGAGAGAAAAGTGTTTAAAATGGATTCATAGTCTAACAGCATTGAATGACTGCAGAATTCCAAGGTGGGTTGGTCTAACAAGTACTAGCCTGGCAACCTTACATGTCTTCTGTGATGCTTCAATTCGAGCATATGGAACCTGTGCCTACATCTGCAGTGATACATCATCACCAGAATTGCTGCTGGCAAAAGGAAGAAGGATCTTCCCAGTGCTGGGTGAACTATACCTCTATATACATTCGTAATGGGGACTCCCGTATAAGCCCCGGATGCGCAGCGCAAGTGTGCCCCAACTCGTGTCTCTTGTACACCGGCACAAACTCTGCTCACTGAAGAAAATAAGAGAGACAATGAGGAGAAGAACGTGATGGGTAAAAGAAAAGAAGCAAGAATAATAATAAAAAATGGAGAGAATAAAAAGATGGGGAGGGACAATTTTTGCGACTGATTACGCATTGCCAGCCATGCACAACCCTGGTTGCTAAAAAAATATGCATACTGTTAGCTTATTGACAATTAATTTATACTTGAGAATTCTTTTCGAAAATTGCCCGATCTATTAAAAATTTTCTTGAAACATGCGGAAGATAACCCATGATTAAATTGTGATTTTTGTCATTATTGGAAAAGAAATGTTATCGCAACAATTCCCTGTATCCAACCATTTGAATTAGTATTGATGTGAATTTTCTTGAAACTTGCTAAATAAAACTCATAACTTAATTGTGATTTTTTTCATTATTATTGATGTGCTGAATTGGGGTGTTGGGAAAATTTTGCAAACCTTGTGAAAGCTGACAGGTGGAAAATTAAGCTTGTATATCAACCAATGAATCACAATAACGAAGAGTCACAAATACTGTATCTCATTTTAAAGCTACAAGACCATATAAGTTCATCATTCATGATCATGTTGAGCCTTGTTTTTGTTGTTTCTATTTTAGAGATTCAATTATATAGTTCAGAGTTCCAGTGACTTGAATGTTGCCGCAACCCTGAACAACATACATACTTGCATCATTAAAATCAGATACATGGCATGAGACAGTAAAATCCAGGAATTATAGGACTATATACATGCTTTACATAAATACAAAATTACAAGTACCTTTATTCAAAAGTCTTAAAAGTTTATTCTTTTGTATCACACTAAAGAAGAGCAAAATCTTTGTCAAATTTCTCAAATTTCTCATCCAGGAATTTTTTCAGTCTGAGACATGCATACAAAAATCACTTTTAATACTGCCATGCATAGTATCATGTAAACAATTGATAAAACATTATTTAATTCATGCAAGAAAAAGGATCCTAACCAAACCTGGGCAATCAAATATTTGAGGGCATGTAAACCTCAAAGGGTGATATTTATATGATATTGTAAAATAATTTAGTAAAATTTCAGTGAAAAGATATGCACTGCGGTTCACCTGCTGATTTAATTCCACCACCCTTATTTCACCAGGTTTGCAAGGCCTACCAAAACAGGAGCCGCCTTTGCACGTATATATACAGCAGTATAGTTGTGGGGTCGAAGAGCACAAATGCGACTTGTGTGTGTGTGTGTATGGATACACATCCTTGTGCCTTGTGACATGGCGGCCCGGAGAGGGAATCACTTCATACTATACAGCGCCATGTTCCCAGTTCACACCCAAAATCACACCGAGCAAAGGCATAACAGAGAGAGAGAGAAAGAGAGAGTAAAGGGAGTGACAGAGCCAAGGAAGACATTTCTGCTGAGCATTGTTGCCAGCAGCTGAGCATCTGATTGATCACTCTGATCAGGGATCCGCACTCCATGATGAAACGAAAGGGGATCCAGAGAAAGAAAAAAACATATCCATATGCTGCATGTACATATATTTTATGAGTACCTTTCACAGAAAATGCAAATAAATATTCATAGTCCAAAACTATAAGTACTTATATAAATATGTGTACAATTTCATTTCAAAAAGTGAAATGCAGTGCAACTGATGTTGAAAATTGAAATTGGTAATAGGTTAAAAACTGTAGGATTTGTCGCGAATTTATTAGTTCTAAATTTAGCAAGAGTTAAGAGAACCCAAATTCTTTTCCTTGGAAGGCTCATTCTTCATCCTGTGAGAACCTGGGAAGACCTCGGTTCTCACGTTACTTACTGAAGCCTCCAAGGCTGCATTTCACTTCAAATCCTGTTGCTAATTCTTGTCCTTGAAGGACTGTTTTCCTGTTTCCCAAAAACCCCAGAAATGACACAGTTTGTCTCAAGCATTCCTGTGTGCGGTTACTCTGAGATTTTGCAAGGTTTTCAAGTTGCTATCAGTCAAATCCTTCAAATTATACCAACTTCAAAATAGGGTGATTTCACCCCAGTCGCAGCCTGACCAAGTTCTTGTGTTTCATTTTTCCAAATCATTCTTTTTTTAGTCATTCCAAATTCTCAAACTAAAATCTTCATTTGTTGGGATTTATTACTGACAGGATTAGAGTAGCGCCAGGAAAACGGCAATACTTCAAGAAAGTTGGGGATCCAGTGGGACCAAGCTTGACCTCAAGTTCCCACAAGATTAGGAATTCATGGGGAAGTCCTTTTAGAAGGATAATGCTTAGGGACAAAAAATGCCATAGAAAGAAAATTTTTCAAATAGTGAATTGCGTCTGTATTGAATCATCAGTTTCTTCTGCGTTGTCTTACACAAAAGATTGCTTGCCAGACCATTGTTCGAATTGATTGAATCTAATATCTAAAAATATATCAACCTTACACTAGGGTGTCAAGCACCCCAGCTGCAGCCCAGCTGATTGTGTCCAAATCTTCATTTCATACTTTACAAAAAAAAGGATTCAAGTCAAAATTGTCAAATCAAAAATACTGTTTCTAACAACTGAAATGGATGAAATCTGCTGAAAAGTATGTCAAAAACAAGATTTAAACATACACTGGAGTATATCCTGCCTAGGTAAGGCATATAATCCATTACTATCCAGCCATCATATGTCTACTTATTCAGTGCAAGTTGAATTCAAAAAAATCCTGGAAAATTATTTTTCAGTAAAATTTTACTTGGAAAGTGTGCAGCTGAAAAATTGATCTGAAATTTGATATGGAGATGCTGTTGCATATTTTAGAAGATTCCAGCTGAATGGTAAAATCTTATTTGTCCCACAAAATCATCGAAGACCAGTTTTGGCCTTTGCTAAAACTTGTCCTTGCTTGGTGGTTCCCTGGGAATCTAGTGTCACCCCAGCAGTTCTCACAAAACCCATGAAAAGAATTTCCTCAGACCTGTGGGAGATCCAAAAACTTGCATCATTGACAAAAGGAGACATTTTGACTGTTAGCAACTCAATTACTTTATCCTAAGGGCCTTTATTCTCTAGTCAAAATTTCCCATTATCCTTGAAGAATAGTTTCCTTGAAAGCCTCTATTCTAATTTTCACTCGATTATTGGCAACAGATCCTGCCAAGATTGAGAAATGTATGACAAGTGCTCAAAATGTTTGAAGCTTGAATCTGTTTGTGAAAATAACACCAACTTTTAAAAAATAGGCAAGTGGAACTCACCCCAAATTCACCCCTATATACTGAACCTCAGTATTTCATTTATAAAATTTCAAACTTCTAATTATGATTCCTGACACATACTCTGCAGCATAAACTTCCCATATCCAGTAGTACCCTGCCATCCTATTGATTTATTTAGTGCAAGTTGAATAAAAAAAAAACTTGAAAATTTAGGAGCTGTGGGTGAGAAGTGTAAATAAGAAAATACAATTGACCTGTAGGATGTTGCTTCACTCTTAAAGCCTCCTGTGACCTCCTGCATGCAAATTCCTGTTGATCCTCTTGAAAATATAACATTTTGTAAGGATTTTTGATATTTTCAGGGTTTTTTTCGCCAACAAAGGAGTTTATAATATTCTAAATAAAATGGAACATAAACTCAGCTTACCATTCCTTCATATAGTATGATCTGGATTTTTTCCAGGATGAAGATTCATTTCCATTTGATGATTTCTGGTCCAAAGCATTCCCAGGCTTTCTTCCACAATGAAACATTCACAAAATGTTTTTCCTGCTCGTGCCAATTTATTTCTGTCTTTTGCACTACTTCTCTCGTCACCACTGATTTCACTACGTAGTACTGGTCATTTTCACAGGCATTCCGCTATTTTCTGCACATTCCATAAAGGTCACATTTGTTGACCAATTTCGCCAACTTGATTTTCCACCCACACATCTTCAACAGTTTGCAATAATTTTTAGCTCACAGTTGATTTTCTTCCCAGTCCTGGAAGGAAAATTTAATATTTCCTTGAATTCACAACAAGGCACTTCAAAGAGCAAATGAATAGAAATGTTCACGATAAATTGAAATGCAGTTTTTAGAGATTGATATTGGGACAAAAAACCTCACACAAGTGATCAATGTGACTTCAATTATATCCTTATAATGAACTAACTGTACAGTAAGAATTATACTTGATTATGTGAGGAAATCAATATAAGCTACTGAAACAGAGAAAGACACAATTATGCATAAATATCCAGTTAGCTTGAATGATATAAATTGCTTTGCATATTTACATGCTGTAAATCCAGATAAAACTGATGTATTATTCAGCAAAATAACTTGAAGAATATTCCATTTCATTTGCCAGCCAAATTAAAAAAAAATCATTCCAACAGATCAAAATTCAACAAAATTTGGCAAAATGAAGAAGGTGCAATCATTTAAATGTTCCCATGTGTATTGATCTCAACAGTCGTCAAAGAAAATATTAAGTTGATCCACTTATCCATATCCTATGCTCCATATGCAGCATGATTTAGAAAAAAATATTTGCAGAGTAATTTTAAGTTTTAAATTTCACTTTTCAAAAATCACTCGTGAGTCGTGACCGACAAAAGATTTCAAGGATTTAACTCTGATCGTTCACATCATCTTCACACGAAATACACTCAACAACTGGCGAAACCTAGGGTCGAAGTCGGATGAGTAAAACAGGTATTTGCCAAAAACCAGTTTTTTTAATTTTTATTTTCTGTACCTTCCACGAAGTCCTTTGAGATCCCGGAGATAATTTCGAAGCCTCCAAATCAGCAATTCCACTGTCTTGTTTTAGTTTTCTTGTCCATCTCAACGTAAATAACAGGTTTCGTGCTGCAATCGTCAGCATTTAAATACGAAGATTAATGTAGACGAAATACTCGAAGTTTCTGTTGAAATCACGGGTGGCGTTACGTGTGCCGATTCATTAGAGCGACATCTAGGAAAGAAGCGTCGTCTTCCACATTCGGTAGGTTTGAGGAAAGTTCTCCAGAGCGAGCAGTTCGAACGCAGTTCGGAAGAGAGATGAAATCTGGCAAGATTATTTTCTGTGGAAGGGGTGAGGCGTGGAATATAATGGAAAAAGGATTCCTTTATACAGACTTAACATAATTGGAATTAGTCAATAATTTTATACCATCTCTTATTAGCACAGGTGGTATCCTGCACTTTAACCTTAATTGCTGTTGCCAAAAAAAGGTTAATTTTCAAATTGGTTGAATAATGCAGGAAACTCAGTGAAATTCAAAAATTCAAGTACTTTAATGCAAAAAAAATGGCCAAAGGAGGTCAAATTGCTGAGCAAATCATAAAAAACCAGGGCAAACACAAAAGAGTCTTTCCTTGGTATAAAAAAAACTTGTCAATTTGTGATGCCACAACTTCTTTGAAATCTGTACAATCAACCAATTACAAGTCTCACCAAAAACTTGAATCTTATCACAAATCAATGTAAAGAAGAACAAAAGCAGACAAAAACTGATGATAAGCTTTCTTTGGTAAAAATCCAAAACATCAATATTGGCATTCCTTGATTTATTTTCAAAGTGTGAACTTAAATTTTGTGGTGGTACCTGTGATTTATTTGTTGAAGAGTTCTGCTGAGTTGTATTTCTTCAAGTATTTTTCGAAATAAATATGCTTAGGACTTTGGTAAAATACAAATTACAATCTTTTAAATTGGGAATTCTTTACAGATTTATGGCTTTGTCCCAGGCTGATCAAGTGGGAACTTCAGAATTTGCTTTTGTTTTACTTGATCAACAGTTATTTTATTACAAAATTTATGTTGTGGTAAGTTATTCGTCAACAGCATCTTTTCAGCCAATATTCTAATTTCTGTTGTCAATATGATAAACAAAATATAGTTTTTTTTGTGGCTAGGAGAAAAGTTTTTCACTTAAGATTATGTAGAAAAAAATTCATGGATTCTAGGGAAAAGATTAGTGGAGAAAAAATTGTAAACTTGATGTGACCAAAAAACATTTTCTACTTGAAATTCCGCATTATTTGCATCCTTTCTGCAAAAAAAAAGCAATGTAAATGCAATTTCAATTTTACGCGTCGAAAAACTTGCTGAACGTGGCCTTCATTCAAGAAAAAAATCCCTGAAAATTTAAAAAAAGCAACAGAATTCACATAGTGATGTAAGCTTTTTTTTGCAGTGCTGGGTTTCGATAATTTTGAAGAGTCACATTTTGAGGATTCGCAAAAATTGCTGCAGAATCATGTTCATGATAAAATAAAAAGTTTTGCACAAACTGGTAAAAATTGCAAAAATCAATTGCTTTATTGCATAACAATCAAATCAATGTTTTTATTGTCAAGCAATCAGGAAAAAATTCTTCACATGTCCTGCACAGCAGACATTTGAATTTTTTATACGCAACTTCGAAAAATCCAGAGCTTTTAAACTATTTATCCTTTTTCTGGGAAATTTAGGATGATGCCAAAGATCAAACATTTACATTTTGTAATTTCGATTAAAAAATTGAGAACAGGTGAGGAATTCACTGCCATTTTAGCATTTATACACCAGCATCGAAATCATGCACAGAAGAAAAACAAAAGAGCATACATACACACCTTTATGCACATTGTAAACAAAAAATATTCTTTCTGCATGTTGAAGATATCTACATTTAAATAGTTTTCAAATGACACAATTCTGGGGCACCACCACTTGTATTCAGAAAGCTGGTGAATCAAATCCCCAGATGATACCATTTTCTGCATATTTTGCTGTCATTGGGCAATTTTTGGCAGCAAGTATCCCAAGGGCTTGTGGAGTGCCAACCTCAATGTTTAATCCACTTGACATTTTGTTCCAATAGTGAAGCGAGTAGCTGTTGTTGGTCTCTTTCAAGACTGCTTCACTGATGGAAGGTTCCATGCTGAACAGCCTCTCCGAATGATTATAATCAATTGGGTAAAATGCACCTGTTTTAATTCAAAACAATACATAGTATGCCATAAAAATATTTTTTTCTAAGTAAACATTTTAAAAAACAACATCACATTATTTTGCAGGATATATTCTGCCAGAATAAAATACATGTTTTGAACATTCTATGCATTGAACATTAAAATTTACTGAGAACACCATATTGCACTTTCTGTTAGTATTATGATAAATCTGATCAATGTATATTATATGAAAATATCTACATGCAAATTACTATGTAGAAACACTGCACAAGGTTGTTTTTAAATTATTGCCTTGTCACATATTCCCATTGACAGTTTATGGAATACTTCAGTGCAGCAGTAGGTCCTTGCAAATAACAAAACTAAATTTCACAGATTTTCCTTTCATGCATAAATTTAGCCCATTATATACATGATACTCTACTTCCTCTGTCTCATTTTGTTTAAAAAAAAAAAAGAAACACTAAGAAAATACTCACTAGTAGGAAGCAGTGTGACATCCTTGCAAACACGAGGTGTAAAAATCTGAAAGAAATACAGTCCGCAATATTTCCTGATCACCCTGGACAGTAGAGTTGGTCCATTGTTGCCCCAGTCTATTGGATCAAACCTGAAAATGAATTCAATATAAAACAGATTCAAATAAAATTCATCTTACTGGGCTTTTCTATGAACTACAACATCCAGATAATGTCTTGAGATATGGACAGCACTTGCTTGATATGTATATTTTTCTCTTATTTATATTGTGATTCATTTTTGGAATTTTACTGTGCTTTGTTTGGACTTTGATTCTTGATTATTATTAATAAATCAGACAAGAATAGGAATGTGTTATGTGTTCAAAATATGCTCCCTTTCTCTATACATTCCTGCTGACTGCAAACTGGATGATTGCAATACATGTTTATTTTTTCTCAAATTATTCATACTGCAAATTTGTAATGATTTCTCTTGTCTCCAACCGTGCAGTCTGAATCTGAAAAAGATTTTATTAGCTGTGCGAAAATAAAAAAAATTCTGGCTTTGCTACAGCATAGAAAGAAGGCTTTTGTCATCCAAGGTTTAAAAAGAAGTCAGCTTACTCATTTTTAAACAGGGATGAGAATATACAGACACAGCAAAGTAGGTAGAAATAAAAATTCAAAAAAACATTCAGCACAATTCTCCAAGACAAAAATAATGATGTTCTGTATGGAAGCCCTTTTCTAAGACAATGTTCACCAACCTTCTTGGGCCCATGTTGGACCAGCAAAATTCCAGAGAATTTTTTGCAGACCTGCACATTTTCTAAGATCTTTCTGTGTAACAAATTCGCATAAAATGTTTGCAGACTCAAAAATGTTTTACTTGAAAGGCTATTTGACAAGTATTTAAAAATTGTCTGCTTTTTTGTAAAAGAAATTAAGTTGAGAACCAATGACAAAGCATCTGTGGTACGAAATGTCTCAAAAAAATTAGAAAACGTGGTTTGAAGAATGGTTTCTCAGAATTGAAAATTAAAATAATTTAATTTAGCAGGTGAAAATTTGTCTGGACTGTAGGAGGAATCCCAACTTTTATTTTTCATTGGATAAATTTAGCTATAATTGTCTTTCCAAATTTTCAGCTAAATGTAACAGACTTCATTCCAATTTCATGTACTGTATTATGCTGAAAAACATTCCCTGTGCAGCAGAAAAACACTTCAGAGGACTATAGTGCTGGTCCATGGACAACATGTTGGGGGACACTATTCTAAATATACAGTACACATCACAATAAAGACCAAGCTCTTTTTGCAAACATTATTTATGCTCCTTGAGAATATTTTTTTGTTTGTCAAAAAACTGTTACTGTGGCTTAACACTATACATAGTGACTGTGTGTACATCAGTCAAAGCCAAGAAAAACTAACCTCAAGACCAATTCCTCCAGGCATTCAGCCATAATAGGATGATGCTTCCTAAATGACATGATCCCAGGCACAGCACCCTGGCGAGTATACTCCTGCAGTCCCACAGCATTGCCCAAGTCATCCATTGATCTCAACACAATCACATCTGTGTCCATGTACAGTCCTCCATACTTGTACATGGTGGCAAATCTCAAAATATCACTGGTATGAGATATCTTGTACAAACTCCTATCCAAGAGCCCCTTGGACAACCAGGGCAGCAACACAGTGCCTTCCAGCCATTTATTGATATCCAACTGTGTGAATATGACATTTGGGTAAATTTTGGCCCACTTGGCAACACTGGTGGGTAGTTGCAAGTACTTGTGGTTCACTGCCACCACCACTGGCCTGTGTGGATGATGCAGAGCTGCAGACTCTATGGCACAGAGCTCTTTTGGACTCAACATGGGCATGCCTGATGTTTATAGAAAGTAGATTGCATTGTTTGGGATATCAGCTGCATCCTTGTCTCCCAATTCGTTTCGGTGCTGTTTCAGAAGATGCGGCATTTTGTCTTCTTCTGCAGCAGTGCCAGGGTTGACAAATCGCATCCCAACAAAGGCCAAAACTCCACAGAACATGAGGAAGCACATGGAGTACATCAGGTTTTTTTTGTTTCGCCGTATGACGAAGCCCATGTTTCTCTGGAATGTTTTTTGCACTAGACTCTTCATTAATTATTTCTGCCAAAAAACAACAAAACAGATTTTTTACATGAAGAATGCACCAGCATTTATATTTTTAAAGTCCTTCAAACTATTAATATATACAGGTGGTACCTTGCAATTTTACCTCCCACAATTTGACCATCTCACAATTTGATGATGGAATTTGCAAAGAGGTTCACTTGCAATTTGACCTCTGTTGTTGCAAAAAATAAACAGCAGTATTCAATTTGTCACACAAAATTAGAGAACCCAAATTGTCAGAAAATTCTTCTTCATTTATCTTTGTGAGGATCAAGAAAGTCCTTGGTTCTCACACTTCTTTCAGAGCGTTCAAGGCTGTTTTTACTGCTAGAATCTGGTTGCTGCTTTTTGTCCTTGGAGGACAGTTTTCCTGTTTTCCAAATCTGCATGCAAACTTCACTTCTGCCCAAGCTCTTGTGTGTGACACTCAGATTTTTTTGTCATTAAACTGAATAAAAAAATTAATACAGTGATATTTAGTATCTTTGTGCTTTTTTCTCTGGAACTACACTCTGGAAAGAACATAATTTCAGATTTTTCAAACCAATAGCATTAATGCACCAGGTCATCAATTTTGCCAGTTCTTGAAACTGCTGATGAGTACAATACTTCACTATTAGTGTTTCTGCTACTGTATGCAGTCCTAACTTCAGTCTGAGTGATGATAAATCATGCAATTATTTGAATGTGTTCGTCTTTTTAAGGAACTTCTACAACACTTTACTGAGACTTTTTTTCTGGCAAGTAGAATAAATAAATTTAATGCATGAAGGATATTTCTGTGCTGTTTCCACTGGAACACTCTGCAAAGAACATGATTTCTGATTTCTCTAGCCACTATAAAAATAATGCACCTGCTCATCAATTAAAAATTATTTCAAATGGAGAACTTATGCACAATAAAGTGTTTCTATTTGCAGATCTAAAATGTTCATCAAATGCTGAGCAAATGATAAAATAATTAATTTTAATGTGTTCCCCTTTTTTGGACCTGTTTTTAAATTTCACTCAGATTTCTTTCCTATCGCGCATCAACTAAAAAAATACAGTAAGTTCAATAAATAAAGAATATCTCTGCACTGTTTCTTCTGGAACACTCTGGAAAGAACATAATTGTAGCAGATTTATTCTTCAACCTTTTCCAAGAGAAAAGTCGCGATTCGTTCTTCACACGAAGGATTTCGAGTTATATGCGTATACAGTATATGTGAATGCATCATGGACATGCATGAAAAAAAGAGACTGTGACATGATTTGCAATTCTTCAGATATAGAAGTGAAATATAAAATATCGTTGCTGCATCATGCTTGGCTTTTTCGCAAAACAAAAGGTAAAAAAAATTTCACAATTCAGAGTTTTTTTCATCGGATTTGGAAATTTATAATTTTCCCCCGCGAAATTATAGACTTATGTTGTGCATGAATAAATTTCAAAAATTACATTTGATGCAGTTTTCTGAAGCTTTTCACTGAGGACAAGAAACAACTGTCCAGAAATATTTTTCATTAATTTTCCTGATAGCCATCACTAAAATTACTTGATTTTAAAAGCAGCATTTTATTGTAACAATCCATTGTACGCTGTACACTCAATAATATACTTTTCGAACAGCTATGGAATATTTTCAAAAATGTTTGACGGTGTAATGAGTAATTTCCCAGCCAACATATGTCAAAGATATGCCTTTAAATTCTTAAAATGGGTTCAAACTTTCAAGAATTGCAAAAAGTGAATGTTTTTAAAATATTAAATTGTTGTAAGCAAGTCAGCAGGTTGACAACAAGGTTTGCTACAAGTGTGCTAATTTTTGGATAATCCTGTCAATTCTGCTCTTCTTATTACAGCAACAGAAATGAATGTGAGTTTCTCACTTGCGTCAAAAACATTTTACATTGCTGAAATCACTACAAAGGCAATAATTCAACACACATTCAATGAATATACAATAAATTTGTGCACTCAAATTTAGTGCAAATTTGTGCACACAAATTCAGGGTGCAGTAATGCAATGCACTAATTCAATCAGAAGAATTGGGGTTGAATTGTTTGAGGGAAGTTTACTGTAAGAGCTAATTTAAAGGACTGATTATTGGGACTGGAAGAGTGCTGGGTTTTTATACAATTTTGCTGTATGCCTTGGTCAGGTTACCTGACTAAGGCACTCGTCTTTCTCCCCCACCTGTGATTGGCAGGAGAAATGTGCATCAAAGAAGTTGTGCATCCAGTCAGGAAAAGGATGCACCAAGGAAAGCAGGACCAGAATTTGGGTCCCTGGGCCAAAGTTCTGGTTCCCCAACAGCTTATTGTAAGCATAGAGCCATTATACATACAGGATGATGTTTGTCACAATACAGCATGACACCTGGCAATATCTATATGGACCTCAAAACAATCACATCAGAGTGATCAATAAAAAAAATGGTAAATGTCTGCACTTTCATTCTCAATTTTCAAGTCCCAGGAATAAATTTTCAGCATCTTTGGGCAGATATTGCGTGTATCTAAATAAAATTCAACAAGGAAGCCATTCCCCTGCACTCACTCAATACAATTTTTTCCACGTTTCCTTTCAACATTATTTTACAAGAAATGTTCGGGTGCAATTAAAATACATTTGACTCGGCATATTTTCTTCAAACATGGGATTTGATTCACTGAATGAACAGCACAGGCTGCATGGTAATGAATCAGAGTGCTGCAAGGTCTGGAATAAACATGGTTTCGCAGTTTTTCAGAAAGAGCTGTGCAACATAAAATACAGTATACTTGCTGTGTATCATGCTTTGCCCTTTGCATCATGTGCATATACAGCAGGAAAATTTTCAGAACAACCAAGGAGTAATTCTGATTTTTCCAAATTTATCGCACCTATAGACGATACTTCATTTCATAGAAGTATTGGCTGGTGCAATTGTCGTTTTTAAAAGCTTTTTCAAAATCACAAATACAAAATGTTTGTCTCACAGGTGAAATTGCGTATCTTATTACAAGAGGGCACATGCAGTTCATCAGGTAAAAACATGGTCACAATAAAATGTTCGAAGTGAGGTGAAATAAATAACAAGCCTTTCTCCATCACACGTTTGTGTTTCTCTCAAGAGCTTCACCAGGACACTTGAAGGCCTCTCGCGGGCATGAACTAACCGATTTCCGTCAAATTTCCACCCACCTGAACAAATAATTCCTCCGAGAAAGAACCCTTTTCTCAACACCGCATCTCAAACGGAAGGCAGAAAAAGCACATGAAAGAAGAAGAAAAAAAAAAAAAAAGAAGAACCTTCCCCACCCCCGTTTTTCTTTTCTCGTTCCTTTCAAAACCCCTCACGGTTTCGCAAAAAAATATCTGGAAGAAATCAGTTGGTATACTTAAGACACTTTCGAAGCAAACATTCAATCACGTTTCCTCTTTCTCTCTCCCTCCGTCCTCAGGAAAAAAAAAAATAAAATAAAAAAAAAAAAAGAAACGAAACAAAAGCAGGCAACACGGTAATGCTTCTTCGATTCCAATTTTTCGTTTTTGTTTTTCTTCTTTTTTTTCTTCGCCGTCAAGAGTGGAATGAACCAACAGAAATTAAACAGAGGAAAAACCAAAGGAAAACAGTGCTCTCATAATTGTCCGTGATTTTCGCTCTCTTCTCAGCTTCCTTCCGTCGGCGTTAGATGGCGTCTATGTCCAGGTCATCATCTCCGCCAGCAGCTGGACTCGGCTTTTTCTTCTCCTCAGTTGCCTGCAGTATTGGTCCTCGGGCACGGTCATCATACGATATCTGTGAAGAGAAGATTCATTAGGACTCTAGAATTTAAAATTTGCTTTACAGATGTCACCCGTGCTCTCATTAAATGAGAAATAAATACTACAGACATCTGCGCAGGCACAACAGGTATCAATTGTCTTCAAGGGGCCCACAGGAATAGCCAACTTCACCAGTTCCTCAGTTTTTAAAATTAGCATTCCTGCTGTAGAAGCAAATAATTACAAGAAGTTGAAATTGGTAATCTTCCGGGACATGAACTGCTTGGTAATTAGTTGACAGCATGCTGAACTTAGAGGCAAGGGTTCATTTGACAAAGAAGCAACTCATTTATTTTTTAAAAGCACTGAATTAAATTTTCATTACTTCTTTCTCTCCTCAGTCCCCGGAATAATAATGCAATGGCCTTCAGAGTTCAGACACTTCAGTTTGAGTACTTTGAAGGAAAAGTCTTCGAGTTAAAGTGGTCTATAATGCATTGTTTTTTGAAGAATTCAGAAAGGCAATTATTTAACAAAATATTTTAGACTTTGGAGTGGTTTCAGTAATTGAGGTCCAACTGCATAAAATTAAATTTAAACAAACACAGTATGAATTTTATTATTGCCTCAATAAGTTTTAAAATCATTTTGTGAATTTTCTGCAAGTTTATTTCCCCAGGGAAGAATTTCAGACAGGCACTTACAAAAAAAAACAAAAAGGTTTTTGACTTGATCTTGTTTCAGATAAATGTTGGGGGCCCAAATATATCAGATTAATGTCAAACAAACATAAATTGTATCACAGGTGGACTCTCTCTACAACGGTTCTCTCTGTATAAAAAACTCTTTTGGTCCCAAAGGATTCTTTTCCGCAAACAAAGGGGTTTTCTACAACAAAATTCTCCGTACAAGGAATGTTTTCCCTGATTTCGTTGCGGAGTGTATAAATTGCAACTATTTTCGTACATTTTTCACACAGGAACTTGTTAAATACATGAACCACAAGAAACAATGAATTCAAACCTCGACATCTTCTTCGTCGCTGTCCTCATCCTCAGACGTCTCGTCTTCAGCCTCCTTGAGCCACTTGAGAAACGGCTCGGCCTTCTCGTGAATGGCCTCACTGAGTTCCTTGCTTACGTATTTCTTGCTCACCCTCTTGCCCCAGTCCAGCAAGACTTCTTCTTCCAGCACGTCCGAGTCGTAGCAGGCCTTGAGCAAGTGGGCCACTTTGGGCAGCAAGGCGTCCTTGTGCAGGGCCACCATGGCCTCGATCCCACCCAGCAAGTACTTTTGCGCCTTCGGATTTTGGTGGCAAAAGCGCAGGAACACGATTCTGTGCTGTTTCACCTGTTGACACAACGTTTTCCGTCGTACTGTATACTTTCATTTTATTTAGATTCGAGTCTGAGAATTTTCTTCTTCCCATCCGAGTCACACGAAGATTAAAGTTCGTTGAGTCTGAATCAAGAAAGCTAAAACGCAATAAAAAATATAAAATGCAGGTCTTCTCGTGTTCACTGGAACAAAACTCACCATATAAAACGTCATTCAATTGCATTCAAATGCTGGAAGTTCCGGTTACCAGTTGAAATTTATTGCTGGGATTCTTTTCAACTGGGTTTGAGACTTGGAAAGATAAATTAGATTTTTATACTACTGTATCACTTTTTTTTTTAATCAAGATCCGAGACATAATGAAAAGATTCAAAGTAGAAGAAGCCATTGGGACCAGTGAATTATAGCTTCGTTTTAAAAAAATTCATCGAAAAGAAAGGCGAATAAAATTGTGACCAAAAAAAAACGAATTCGCTGTAATCGATCATTTTTTGTAACAAGATCGGGTTTCCTTGTGACGAGATTCTATTGTACTTGGAAGCACTCAAGACTGCCTAAAAATTCATAAAACATGCACCTTCGACAAGTGAATCCGATGATCTCATAATTTCGTAGTGCACTTTCTACTCTCCTTTTCATTTCAGCCTAATTGATCAGTTGTTGGAAAATTGGTCAACTTATTCTCCAGAAAAAAAATCACACCCATCTTACAGGAAAAAATAAATTTAAAATCAACTCACTTGTTGGAGCATGGATGAATCAAAGAGAACTTCGCTCAGGATCAACGGCGCCTTGTCTTTGATGTCCAGCCTCTCGGCTTCCGTCAACAGCTCTTTGTCGATCCCTGCGTTGCTCAATTTACCCTGTTCTTTCTTCTCCTTCACGAAGTTGTAGAAAATGTCCACCCTTTCCTAAAAAAAATAAAGAAAAATATACATTTTCACGTAGAGTTCAACCGATTTTGAGTCACCGGCTTTATCCAAGACTCACTTTCTCGGTCTTTTCAAGATCATCGGTGATGGCCAGAGTCTTGATGCCATCGCTCAAGTCCGCCTGACGTCTCTTCACCGCTTCTTCACTGACATCCACTGACCAGTCCTCATCATCGTCCTGTAATTTTAAAAGGATAAAATCATGCAAATCCAAGCAATGCAACGTTGATTAAACTGAATAGTATCTAACTTCCAATAATCTCACATGACAATTAAAAATAATCAACAGCAAAATTTCCTTGAAAGCCTCGACCTCAGTTTCAGAAAATAAAGGTAGGTGTCGCCCGATTACCTATTGATCGATGGCTTGAAAATGATATTCAGATATTCAAGAAGAACCTACTTGGACTCGTAATGAATTATTAAATGTTGCGCGCGTTTAAGGAAAATTTTATCGAGAATTTAAAATTAAACGAAAGGCATGGAAATTTCCGGAAGGAATTGTTCCTCACATCTCCAGCAACAGCGAATTCCTCGTCAAGATCAACTGCGGCACCTGTTCCTGGCCCGCCCTTTCCGTTGGCACTCGCCTGTTTATATCCGCCGTTTTCCTCTTCTGCAAATCGAGAAAAAATATATAAATTGCATAATTTTCGTTCTTAATCGCCTTTAAAAATTCCAGAAAAATGGCATCCACAGATTGATCCACTATTGAATGATTGTCCTGAACGTTTTTCTTCTTGCGCTCAATCAGGAATTTCTAGATTTATGTGTGCATGAACGAAAAAAAAATCGAGATCACAAGTTTTGGCCATAAAATTGAGAATAGCCGTTGACATCATGGTATATACACATGAAATTCAAGAATTTCTCTCCATCTTTCATAGATTTATTCACGAGAAAATGTGCTCCGAATTTTCCAAAATTCAATAGCCTTTGGTTTCTTCGAGAATCGACTCAGAGGTTTGCCTTAAAATTTCGGAATTCATAACTCTTGGCTTCTGTGGTACTTAATTACCCCGACTTTCGTTCAATTTCAGACCAATTTCCAAACAAGAATAACTCTGGATAACTCAAATCACAAAAAAACCAAAAATTCGAACACGAAAAACAACGCGAGTCGTCAGATATCTTCAAGTCCCGAGATTATCTCGCGTTAACGCGTTCCAGTCAACTTTTTCTCCTCAACAATAAAATTGAATGAGAAAATATTTATCGATTTCGTTCCGTTTCTCCTCACCAGGGGGATGACGTAAAATGAAAGCCGTGAGTTTGTGAGTCATGTCAATGTTGCCAATGAATCCGCAGGCCTTGCAGGTGGACGTGATCATGCCCTTTTTGGGCAAGACCCTCAGGACCGTCTCCGGGTTATCACACTCTTCGCACAACACAAACTTCTTGATGAAGCCGTCCAACAGGGTCTGCAACCGAATAGCATCGTGAGCTCCGTTCACAATAAACCGATCGTTCTTCGTGTCCATGCGTGTCAGAGCACCCAGCTCGCAACCGAAGTACTTGGTCGTGTCTATACACATTGGAGAAAAAAAAAAACGAGAAGAAGGTAAGAATCAGGGATTTCTTTTTAGTAATTTTCTTGCTCAAGTCGATTGGTTACTATGGATAATTCGTCAATGTGGATTGCTTCCATAAAATCGGACGCATAAAAAGAGGCGCAATTACTCAAATACCACGCACCCTTGATTCAGACGAGCACTCCTTTTTCCTCTCGATTTCAAGAAAAAAAGGTGCGGGAGAAGTGAATACGGCAACCAAATTTGGGTCCAATTCAAATCGAATTTTGAATTGTTATGCGTTTCAATAAAAAATTCTTTATTGCAGCTTTTCGTTACTAAAAATGGGGTGCGATTTTTACTCTGATCATTTTTTATTAAAAATTTTCGGATTAGAAAATCAGGTGTGGATCTCACTTGAGGGCACGTCGTGGTACTCAAGTAAAATCAGCAATGATTATCTAAAATTCGATGCCATTCTTGAAGAACTTGAATGAAAATTTCAATCTATAAACAGTACTGTACATGGTACATCATTATTTTATTCAATTATTGCTAGAATTCATTCTTACTTCGAAAAATACTTTTTTCTCGACAAAAAAAAACTACTGTACAGAAAATTGAAAATTATTTTTCTCAAGAAAATACCGGACTTCCGGCAAAAACTTAGACGTGATACAAAGCCCCGTATAAGAGAGTATAAATCGATGGAGAAACAAAAAGAGCAGCTCACACGTGGGAGGACGACTGAGTGCTTTGGCCACGTCCGCCATGTTGATGATGACAGTCTTTATGCCATTACCCTTGCCTTCCACCTTCGCAAGGATCCTCGGCATCTTGTAGCGGTAGAAAGCGTCAGTGACATTGCGGTTCACGTTCAGTGTTCCCGACATATTTGCAATTGCTCTCAGAAATCAGCAACAACAAAAAACAAAAGTACTCAAGCCCCGAAAATGAAGGAAAACCAAAAAAAAAGTGCAATAAAGACGTTGATGGGGAGGAAAATGAAAATGTCCTCCACGCTCTCAGAAACAACGACGGACCCCGACGGAAGTTCCCCTTAAACGTTTTTCACGGACGCATACGAGAGCAGTCAGGAGCGAAACAGACTCGGCTTCCACGGATCATCTACCAGTAGCCGGTTTTCCCTGAAACATTCAATCCAAATTTCACATGAAAACATTTCAAAGGGTCATTCAATTAAATTTTGAGCGAATCACTGAAAAAATAAAATAAAAAAACTGTTGCTTCAATTATAAGAAAAAACACCTTTCCGTTCCTCCTCATTCAACACGAAAGAGCATCTGAAAAGCTTCTAAAATCGGATACTGATCGTAAATTAATTCACTGCACCCGCAACGGAATATAATGGTTCCCCGCAAATCCAAAACGAATCCGTTCCTGGGTGCAATTCGATAAGCGAATTTAATACGAAGGATATAATTAGTTTCAGACACTCACCGAAATACTGTATAGTGATACTGTATAATAAACCTTGAAAACTTTTCATTTTTCCTATTTTTAAACACAAAAATTGTAATTTTAAAATTGAGTTTAAGTAATCATGGCAAGTTTGTGCTCTGAACTTTCTGAATTCCACTAATGTTATCGACAAGAAGCAAAACTACGCCCTTTTTTTAGTCATTTTCCTCGATTTATTTTCAAATTCCAAAATTACTTTCAAGCGTTTCGCGGCCAAAGAAAATTCTTCACGCAAAATGTTTTTGTTACACCGATTTTCTGTCGTGCGGGTCTTTTATAATCATTGTAACAAAGTAATGTTGATGAAAAGATTCACAAGCTTCCCATCAATTTATTCATTTCTTTTTTGATGAGTCGTGGATGTTTTAAACTCTGATCCTGGTGAGACAATTCGAGACACGTACCCACGACACAACGTCCTCCAATGGTCTTTTTCCCAGCGCTCATGTGCCACATGCATCCGACTCCGCTGCTCCGCTCGACTCAGGCCCACCGTCGACCAAGACTTCCCGCCTGTCAAATTAAAACAGAAGCATCAATCAACGATCAATGCATCACATTCAACAAATGTATCCATTTTTATGGATCATCAACTTCTCATGAGTGATTTGGGCCCATTTTTTTTATTCACAAGAGGAATTGACACTAAATAAAGGGTTTACCGTAATCCTTACCCAAAAAAAAGAAATGTTCACACGAAGCATCCCATAAAAAAATAACGATAAAACGTCCCATACTTAGCAGTATCAAATTTCCACACAAAAATGAAACGTAATACAACGCAGAACGCCTTTCCGAAAATTAATTCATGGGCTGTTACCGTGAGTACTCCACATAAAAAGCCAAGTAATTTTCACGATTACTGTTTCCCTTTCGCACAACTCGAAAAATATACATTTGCCGTCTAATTTGAACAAGGGTATCGTGAGATGGCAAAACAATATCGTAGAAATTTCGCAATCACGGTTTTGCTTTTTCGTTTCAAAGACTCACCTGTACGTTCAATCTGCCACGTCATATAAATTTCCCCGCAGTTTCCAACAGCAGCGCGATCAAACACACTCCCCCCGAGGAAAAGAAGCTTCAACCACAAAATTTCCCGATTTCTGCAACAAGAGAAGAAAGAAAAAACATGAATATTTGCACGCATTAAACAATCTTGGATTTCAGCCAATCAAAGCGAAACAACATTTTTGTTTTTCCTTTTTCCTTCGCTTCAATTGGCCATAAAAAATTCGCGGAACACGGGGCTCATGAGCCACTCGACACAAGCTCTGCGAAACTCGCGCAAACTCAACACACTCTCGGATACGAGTCCGACGCAATGCAAATCCAGATAATCCGCGTAAACAGCCGCCACGTAATCCGCATTCGACACTCGACACCGACGTCCTCGGATCATATTCTCAAAACACAATTCCCCTCGCAACTCCGCCGCCGAACACAACTTTTCCACTCGATGCAACTCATCCTTTAATGATTTACGACTATCATCTGAATTCCTGGTCTCGGACAGCTGATTAAGACGCGTATTCCGACCGAAACGAGTAGCGTATTTCTTGAAAAAGCCCGGATTGCGGAACACGAGGCGCAAACTCGCGAAATACTCCGACTTGGCCAATGAGATCAGCATCGCATTCGTTTCCGAATCAAAGCTCACTTCGAAAGAGGTCTTTTTCTGAATTTCTGATTTCAAACTCGGTTTGAATTCTGACTTCCGACGCAACCAACTCACGCGCCATGTTTCAATGTGGCTGTCGGGATGAACCAACGACAAGATCAGGAAAAATCCTGAGAATTTCGCACGAAGGATTTTTCCGCTTGTCTGCAGCGGGATCACAGTACTTTTCTGTCCCTAGAAAAAAAAATGAAGTCTTACAAGGGAAGTACAGCGAGACAAGTCCTCGGTACTCACATTTTCGAATACCTCCAGTTCCACGAGATCAAAATTATCGCTAACGTCATCCTCTTCGACCAGTTGACTGAATTCTATAAAGCTTTGCGACTGTCGAAAAATAAAAAAAAGAGCAACGCATTTTAATCACAACGAAAATTACAAGATTTTGAAGCGGGAATAGATAGAAAAAATCCTCAAAACAAACACATTCCCTGCAAGAAATTAATTTTCGATTCTCATCCTTTAAATAATTGATTACGTTAAGGAAAATCAAACAATCGTTTGAATGTAGTCCACATTTGTTCCTCGGAATAAACTTTTCGTGAGTAGGAAAAGTGGTTTCTCACCGAAAATGGTTGACTCTTGCATTCATCGATTTCATCATTCAGTGAAATCTTTTCCAGTTGTTCACTCAAGATTTTGACATTCGAATCGTTACTCTGTTTGTGAAAGATGCCCCGAAAGACGTCGATTTCACTATCTTCGCCTTCATCCTCCTCTTCGTCTTCTTCTTCATTTTTTTCAACAGTTAGCTCGTTTTTCTTTTCAATCCGATGCTTTGACCATGAATTTATGTTAGCCAACAGTAACTGATAATTAGTTGAAGCATTTCCGGCATCGGAGAAGTTGATCTTCGTGGAATTGAAAATCCGGTTGTCGATATCGTATCCCGAAAAAACTAACACGTTGGTGTTTCTCGGGTCCAAAGAAACAGAAAATTCGGGGGAATTCACATTGTAAACTTTCTTCCATGACGGATTCGGTGGACAACGAAAAGCAAGTGTTCCTCCGATCACAGCAATTTCTGTTTCTTCACTGCGTAAAGATGTAAGGTTTTTCAATAATCTTCCGACCAAAATTCACAGCACTAATGTACACTCACCTCGAATCATCGTCAGCGACCTCATTTATCATGACCAACACTCATCATTTCCATCCACTCTGCAAAAAATAACACGTAAGCACACGCAAGAGAGATCATTCAAAATATCGATTCAGACGAATAGGAATATATAAAATGAGTTCAAAGACGCTCCAGTTTCAAAATTCCTTCTTCCTCAACGGTAACAATGTTTTCTCCTCCAAGGCCACCATCTTAAACCCAAAAAAATGAGAAAAACGCAAATACTTGTCGCTTCATACCTGTTCCCACACGAAAGGCAAGGTTTTAAAATTTCCAATTGACATGGTCATACAAACATTTAAACACCAACAAAAAATCAACGATTGCTATCAATCATTTTGTTCCGGTTCTCGAAATGAAGATCCATCTTTCGACGCATATTATTCAGTCCTGTCCTGTCTCGCCAACGGTTTGACCTGCAAAAATAAATTCGAGTTCAAAATGGCTACAGAATTAATTTCTTTAAAAAGAGGAGGAATCGTTGACTCACTTCGAAACTCACATTGAAACTTGAACTGATACCCAAGACAGACGAGCTGCGATGGTCGAAGTACATCAAAATGTATTCCCCGGGTACGATAAGAGATGTAGGGTACGTTACTCGTAAAAGCCGTTTGTCGCCCATGTCTCGACTTTGTGCTGATGCCACAGACATGTAGGACTGGTACGCATCCAGAGATGCAAAGTTTTTCTGTTAAAAAAATAAAAACTTCAATTCAATTCAACAGGAAATCATTTTAAAATTACTAAAATGCTCTTAAAAATAAATCAGTCACATATCCTTTTTAGAATGGCACCTTTTCCGCAACAATTTCGAAGAAACACCGGAAAACACTCACCCTGAACATTCCGACCCAGTCAAAGGGATTAATCGTGTGGCGATGCAAAACTTCCAGCTCAATCAAAGCATCTTCGCCTATCACCCAATTTTCCATAGGTTCCCTGAACTTCACATCGATTCCTTTTTCTGGAAACACCTGAAAAATTATTTTACCCGTTTTTAACTGAGATTATCGAGTGAAATGTCTTCCTAGCGCTCGAAGCTCACAGTGAAAGAGAAGACGGAGTAAACAGGAAGATGATCACTCAATGCCAAACCGGGAAATGAGTTATACTTGTGCTGACACAGCTTCAGCTCCAGTTCGTCGTAATTCCCGTCACCAACTGCGTATAAAATTCTGTCACACCAGGCAGGCAATTTCCTAAAAAAAAAGCACAATTTTTTCAACAACAAAAAAAAGCCATCGAACACAATTTCGTGAAAATCAACCACGCATGGAAATCAGAACTCCAGAAAAGTCAGAAACGCGTAGAAAACTGAAAAGGGGGAAGAGAGAATAATCGCGAAAGCAAATATTTTGCGCAACATTTTTTCTTTCTTTTTCCCCCAGGAAAAAGCAAAGCAAGAACGAGTCCCGCTGCTTTCCCACGGTCCATTCGAACAAATACTTGTCGACGACTCACACCGGATCGTAGCGATTCGTTCCAGCAACGAACTTGTAAGTCGGGGGAAAACTCGGCAGACTTTCCTTCAATTCCGCGAAGCATTCGTTATTTCGCATACAACGGTTCAGCTGATCGTGGCTCGTCAAGATCTCTTTCGTATTTCCTGCCGAGATTTTCTCCAATACCTAGAAAAATGAAAAGGTACTAATGAGGCTTCATAAATAAATACTGTACAAAAACTAACCCAAAACAAAATCAAAAATACCATTGAGCTTCATTTTAGCGGCATCGCTTTCACATTTAGGGTTTCTACTACGATATAGGGAAAATAAGCTTGTTTGCGCAATTGTTGTGCTTCTGAGTCTGTTATATATTGGAGAACGCAAAAATAAATAATTCCAAGCTCAAATGCACCGTTTTTAGATTATATTTCAGTTTACTAATAGTGTAGTACAGAAAATGTTATTATTTTTGCAATTACTACATCAAATAAAGAGCAGATCCGTTTCTTGAAGTTTCATATTAAACTATTGATGAAAACACACAATTCCTGGATTTCGTAAAGCGATTTTCAATTTTTTTCGAGAGACTATCCCAATCAAGGAGATGCCTTTTATTGTGGAGATCATTCAACCAATACCAAACGATTCAGAAATGAAATTTTTAAAATTATCCTGAACATTGCGGATGTGCTTTTCAGTACGAACTTCGTGATATCCCTCAAAAAGAGCCTCTATTTGTTCGAAACTTGCCAATTTTTTCCTCTAAGACAAGAGATTTTTGTTGCGCTAAATCGGGGTTTCCCTTGAGAATGGAAAGTGATTTGTTCAAGGACTATGTTCGGCGCTAAATCGACGTTTGACTCTGTCATTAAAAAATAAATGAAAAACCACGCACCTTTTCAAAGTTCAACACACCATTCGGAGCTTGACTAGGTTTCAGCGGTGATTTTTCGTCATCTAGTCGAAAGTTAAGATCCCCGAACCAGAACACGTAGTCGTGGTATAGAATCTTTGGCGTTTCACGAACCGGGACGGATTGCGTCATCACAGCGTCATTGTAGCACTTGATCCGCTCGCCCAACAGATAATCATGGGCCGGCAAATGAGAGTTCACCAAGCATAACGACGTTCCTCGCAACGTCATCCTCACTGTCAGGCTTCCTTTATTTCCCTAAAAAAAAAAAGAAGTTGTATCAATTCAACAAAATGAGAGAAGACACGCACGTGTTGCGAATTTTCAACATCCAACAGCGGGAATTTTCCTTCGAGACACGAAGGAAGAGAAAAATCTTGTCTCTCTCTAATTTCATGTTGATTATTTTCAAAAATCGTAAGAATATTATCAAGACATCGTCACATAATACTCACGAGAACTCCAGCGACTCCCGAACGAGTTGATGCAGTGAAAACATCACGACACTGCAGCAAATGCTTCTTCCTCACGAAAACCAACAGCAGCGAAGTGAGCATTCGAATTCGTTTCACTCTTATGAACCCTTTTGCGAATAACAATCGCCTGCGCCCAAAAACACATCAGTCAAGACTTCCTAGAAATCCACGGAAAAAAGTGTTCTCACCCGAATGCTTCAGACCAAACATCGTCGAAAAGTGTGTCATTCAACAGGGACTGGGGTCCGATCGGAATCTCCTGAAGCCCAATTGCGAAAACGTCTACATCGACTTTGTCAGTGTTGTCATTCAGTCCCAACAACTGCTTCAAATCGGCATCGATTCCCAAAGGGGCTCTTCCTTGCACATTCCAAGTCACGCAAAAAAGCCTGAATGATCAAATAGAGAACAAATCATTTTTTGTCCTCCTTCAAACTTTTACAATTACACTTGACGAAGTTTAAATTACAATACAGCACTATATTTGAGCCTATACTTAAATAGTTGAATTCACCACGAACAAGGGCGAAAGACACGAAATTGGAGCCAACAATGCATAAGCAAATCTTTCAAGATTATCTCGAGGTTTACTTTCTTCAAAGCTGTTCAATTTAAGCGGATATAAAACGCACCAGGAAAAGTAGTGAAATAAAATTCACTAGTGCCTTTAAAATCGATTCGAACTGGAACGAAAACGTATAGAAGGTTCAAGGCCTTGTACAAACATCGTATACAGAAATTGTGTTCAATGTGATCCTAAAGAAAGGAGAAATTCTGAGAAAGCATGCGGTTCTTTCTTCTCAAGAACTGCACGATGTTCAACATTTAACTTAAAATTGATACACAATTGAAGGGAGCTATTGATATCAGTTATTCCATTTTTTTGGGATGATAAGGCCTGATTTTTTGTTTTTGTTTTTTTTGGCCCTCCCTTCACATAATTTTTTATTCAATGTTCGACTGAAAAAGTCACATTCGCAGAAACACTTTTTTCCATTTGAAGATCTGAAAATTGAGGTACTCTAATTACGACTACACTTCAATTCTATCGTGGAAACTTAGCTTGATTGAAAAATAGCACTCACCTCAACTCATCCATGACCCAAACCCAACACGCGGAGGAACTAAACCATGATCACCACACCATTCCTGAAGCGATAAACGTACCCAAAGAAAATCTTTTCTTTTAAATTCGAGTCATAGAAAGAAATTTCAATCGAAAAACAATGCACTTCTTTTCGCGAATTATCACAGCAAAGTCGGTCCGTGACCGCGGATACGTGACTCTGTCACAGCCACTACTTCATCCGCGTTCAGATCCAACTTCTCATTTCCTAATTCGTCCATAGCTTCTCGCAACGCCCACTTCACGGTTTCTACACTTCCTGCATCGCTTTTCGCAGACATGGGCAAAATTTTCCGAAAGTCGAATAAATGCTCGGGTTTGAAGGGCTTGGGATTCGAGCCTGTGGATTCCAACTGCTCCCAGAAGTGCTGGGCGGATTCTGCGAAGCGATTCAATTCCTCAGCAGACCGATCACAACACCTTAAATAAATTAAAAGTCTAACCTGGGTATGACTTCATGATTTCTTCCATTTCCAAAAACTTGTCGTAACCCCCTGGCCTGTCGATTTTGTTCAGAAGAAGCATTGCAGGCTTATCAATTAGCTCGTCGCAGTGAGCTTCAAGTTCCCGGTTGAGCATTAATATAGTTTCAAACGCATTCCTGGCCAAAATTTTCTCATGACAAGATCGATCAAAAATGAGGATACAATACCAAGAAACGAACCTGAATGGGTGTTTCGGACTAAGCTGGAATCCAAAGAGATCAACCACAAATAAAAGAACCTTCGTTCTTTCGACATGTTTCAAGAATTTGTGTCCGAGTCCCCGGTTTTCTGTCGCAGCTCCTTCGATCAGACCCGGAAGATCCGCGATGCTGAAAGTTCTCAAGTCATCGAACTTGATTACACCTACTTGGGGCTCCAAAGTAGTAACTGCAGCAGTTCACAAAATAAACATTGTCAATTAATCGGTGAAAAGCGCGCTTCAAGATCTAACTTACACGGATAAGCAGCGATTTTTGGCCTTGCTCGAGATATTGCTTTCAAAAACGTCGATTTTCCGGCGTTCGGAAAACCAACAAGACCAACATCCGCGATTATCTTCAGATCTAACACGTACATGGCACTACGACCCGGTTGTCCGCAGTATTGATTCGTCGGGTTCCCGCCAATCCCACCGGTCGCAACCAGAACCTTCTCAGAGGGTTCATCAATTGATGCTTAAGATAAAATTAACACATGATTTAAACGTCATCTCAGTTAATTACGAAACTCACCTACCACTCTTCCGAGTTCATTGACGACCTCGACGCCACAAGGGACTCTGATATCTAAATTTGCCCCTGGTTGACCGAGAATGGCGACTGCTTTACTGTTAGTTCCGTTACCAGCTATGAACCGCTTCGATGGATTTTTCTCCTTCAACTTTGCCAAAGACGCCTCTGACAATAGATGAGTCAAGTTATTTTCGCGAAAAACGAAAATAGAAGTCCTACGACACCTTCGCTTCCAATAAATGAGACATTGCCACCGTTTCCACCGAATCCTCCGAATTTCGGGAATCCCATTCCCCCAGCTCCCCCACGAACATACACTCGCAACGAGTCAATGAAAGTGCGCTTCGGAAGGCGCCCCATACCTATATAAAGTGGCAAACCGAGACGATACGCGAGATCTACCGCCACTAGAATATTCCTCGCATTCTAGATGATAAGGACGTATAAAATCCCTCGCATTCCGTTCGCATAATTTAATATCACTAGAACCAAATCGTTGATCGAACAGCTGGGCAAAAGACGTAAACTCTTCTAAACTTGTGCTAACAGCTGGACATAAATAATCGACACTGGCTGGGCGTACGTCTTGGAAGACGGCGATCACTTTGACGAAATGGTATCATACATACAATTTCAAAAAAATATCACTCTTTTTCACTTCGGATGGAGAACAGTCACACCATTATTCCAAATCCAAACATCCAGCATTTGGTGCAGAAGTCTTACTTGGGCCACCACATCTAACGACGCCATGACACATCGTACCACCTCTGTGTTCCCCTTTTGAAATTTTTTGGCATGGTACTAGTGTACAGTATTGTACACTCCAATACTGACACTTCATGACATTCCGGTACACTACTGCACATTTTCAATAAAATCACATCAGGAAGGGCAAGATGATGTTCAGATGATCAAAAGCCATGAATACAGTGCTTCAAAGAGGACTTTAAAAACCTAATTTCAGGATTGAATTCAATTTACCAATACTGAAATTCCAGCCACTCTCATTTCATCATCACGGAGTTCTGCATGAATTATTAATTTGAAGAAATGAACTTGGTGATGAATCATGATCCACAAAGCAGTACTGTACTTCGCCTGCTCAATTTTAAGTGATTGAAAATGTACACGCCTTCATTGAAGCTTCAGTGCGGGCGATCTATGTAAAAAGAGGAATGAAAGGTCTTTCATGTTTCAACTCCATTCATAAAATTTATTTTGTCATCAAACTCTATCATCACACGTAGCACAGAGAATGTGTAGGACATCAAACACAAGAAGCTTTCCTTTCCAACCCAGGGGTAGCTTCATGAAACCATTCAATCTCGCACATAACATCAACGTAAGCAGCTTCCATTTGAAATTTGAGCGCAGTTTCAAAGATTTCTGATGAAAAGCAAAATATATTCACAGCAACATTGAGCAAAACACTGATGATCGAAAAACGAATGATACATGAAAAGGAGGACTCCCTCAGCATTCTCTTCGTAGAAGTGCTTTTCAACATATACAGGGGATATTATCTGACTTTCAAGAAAGGAATGCCTTTCGAAACCCCAATTGTGCATGCCGGCCAAAATTTTCTTTTTCACCAAGAAAGAAACATCCGGAAATAAAATAAAGCGATTCGTAAAATAAATCCCACAATACGAATTTTAGAACACTCCTTGACTTGGATTAAAATTTGAAACATTCCTTCAGGTCCGTTTCTTCCTCGGGACTCAGTTTAGAAAAGTTGAAAACACAACCCCTGGCTTCAACCAAAAATTTAAAGGGCCCCACCCGAGTCCCAATAGGGATTTCTCTGGTTCTACAAGACCCCCGGGCACCAGTCGGAATCCCATCAAGCAGGACTCGTTCGCAGAAATCAGCTCCCAAAGGAGCAAACATTTCCAGCTGCAAATACCTGAGGCCTTCGCAAGCGCGTAAAAGATCCAACAAACACCCCCAACTCAGGTGGACATTCTTCAATACCAAAGTTTCCAAAAATGGCACCAATTCCACAACGTTACTCCACACAACGAGATCATTGTCTTTGACGAACCGCTCTTCAAGCGTTGTGTCATCCAGGCCACCAAAGACGGTCAAGTGCTTCAGTTTTGGCACGCTAGCATGCATTCGTTCAGGAGTCAAATCCAGGTACGATGAGTCCAACAGAGAAACATGTACTCCGAGTACTTCCAACAACGGCACATCAAACGTCACACAACCACCTTCGAAGTTCGTCCTTCGACTCAACCCAAGTTCCAGCACCTTTTCATAAACATCATAACATGATGCGAATTTGTTTCCAAGATTTTATCACATGCCTTCAAGACTACCAGCGACATCTACGCACGCTGATATAATTTTTAAACTTCAAGAAACTATCGGACATTCCGATGTACAGAATAAGAAATGGGAACAAACGCACCTTGATGCCACTCAGTTTATCAAATGGCACGTGACTAGACCAGGGTTCCAAAACAGCTCTGAATTTCTCAATTTGCTCCAGGTGATGCACACCATTTGACCAGTATTCCTCATTTGGACACGGTTTGTAACTGACATTTTTCATCACAGGAAGATACTTGAGCATAGAATGAGGCGAAGGGAACTTGAGGAATTTCCAGGAACAGTAATCATTGCTCCATTCGACAAAGGATACCCCTCCTCCTTGGTTGCCGATCATGATTATCTGCAAGTCCACGAATAGAAAATTAGGTTTTCAAAATAATCTACATTAAAAATATACTTTCATAGACTATACATATACTTTAGATACATTTTACCGTGAATTTTCTTCTGCAAATTGTCTTATTCAGTAATTCTCAGAGGAAATTCATTGACAGTTCAATTTTCGGTTTGAAGTATTGTACATTGAATTATGCTTCAAAATTCCTGACTTCATGAAACATAAAATTTACAATGTCAACCAGACTTTCATAACTCGAACCTTGTCAAGTCAACTTTTTTTTTAGCCCCTGTCTGAATTTATCTTAGAAAAATGCATTGAAGACCAGAGTAAATCGAAGACTTTCCCACTCAAACGTCTAAAACTCAAACTTCTCCAGGCCTTTCGGCTATTATTTTAAGGGACCCAGCAGTAAAGAGAAATACAATCCAATCGTGAATTGATGCTTTTCAAAAGATAGTGAGGGACTATTTTGGTAACACCCAAGTTCGGCATCCAGTCAACTCATTTACAAAGCAGATCAAGGACCCAAAAACGACCTCTTTAAACTTCCTGTAATTTCTTCATTCTTTGACAAGCAAACACGTCTACTTTCCTAAACTCAAAAACCCTGCAAGCCAAATCTTCTCAGGTGTCCCTCGGAGTTCGATCAAAGAGGTTCAACCGTAGACAAAATACTTGTCTCCTGATTTGATGAACAAGTGTCTCTAAAAATATATCATTTCTTCTGAAAGATGCAGTCCATTCATGTTACCAAGAACATCAAAATATTTGCAACTTCACAATGAATGAAAATAAAAGTTGAATCTATGCACAATTTCTCCCAAAAACAATCAACTCACATTCGCATTGTGCAAAGGGAAGCCCCAAGTGCTGAAAGAGCGTATGTCAGTAAAAGTCACACTTTTGATCTGGGCCTTGTTGGACACAACCTCAGCCCAGGGTTCAATGAGATCCTTGTTCAATTCTTCAGTCAACTGATCATTCCTGCCCAAAATCACGTCAGTCACTGCACCGGGATACAAAATTTGCAGGGTGCGGAAAGAATCCAACGTTGCATCCACGGAAACTCGCGTCCACGGAATATGCTTTTTTACTCTCGTAAGAACGTTTGGCAGAGCCAAATGTAGCTCTTGCAACACGGACAAAGGAGGAAGGAAGGACACTATTCTGGATAAAAGGATATCCGGCAAATGCAGCAACTTGTTGTCTTCTTCCAGCAGTTTATTGAGTATTTCTGAAGCGCTGTGGCCAATCCAGAATTCAAAGCGGTAAACTGCAAGGGATCAAAATGAGAGTATGAATCAATGTTTCCCAATCTTTCTGGGCCTGCAGACCAGAAAATTTCCACAAATTTTTGGAGACCAGTAAATTTCCATAAAAGCTTTGCAAACCCAGATACATTTTTAAAATACCTGCCATAAAGTCCATTAAAAAAAACTTATATTGTAAAAATTAATTTAAGAACCAATGAAGGAGATATAATAGTGGAATGCCTTTAAAAAATTAGACAGCTGGACTTCAATATAGGTTCCTCAGAAAGAAAGTATTTCAGCAGTTTAAATTTTGCCTGAAACATAGCTAGGAGAAAAGCCAACTTTCATTTTTCATTGGATGATTTCAACAACCATTGTCTCTCTGAAATTTCAGGTGAAGATAAGACTTCATTGCTAGCTTTGATACATTTACTGCACTGAAGAAAATTTCCCATAGACAATCAAAAAACTTCTGTCACCAGCATCTTTTGAAAGGTTCCAGACCACTTGAATGAAAAGTCTAACATGGAGATAAAATTGAAAAAATTAAGAAATTTTTACCAAATTCAGGATCAGAAACAACTGCATTGAATTTGAAAGAGTCCAAGTGGTCAAGTGAGGCAGAGCTCTCAGGCAACAACATCCCCATGAGGAGACCTTCCACGAATCTTACACTGCCTCCAAATAGCTCAGTGTTTCTCACCCATGGCTGAAACAAAAAAATTCCAAATTCAGAAATCCCCATACACAAGCATCACAAATTGTTCAACAGGGCACTGAACATGGCTGTCCATTCCCAGCAACATCACTTGATGATAATGATTCAATCCCAAATGTACCATTGGACCTTGACAACTTAACCCACTGTAAATCAAAACTTCCCTTCGTCAAATTTTTATGCTGCTGCTGTCTAAATTCCACTATGAACGATGTACAGTACAACAGGTAGAATCTCGACCAACTTTTCGTTTCCGAAACTCTTTACTCACTTCAGTACTGAGTTGATTAATAATCGCAGACTAAAACTTGATTCCCTCCGTTTTCGAATAAATCAACAAAATGTTGCTTGACATGGACCAACTGGTTTCATCGAAATATTCTTCACGATTAGCTGGACTCGAAAACATTTTTAACTTGTAACAGTGTAAAATATCCCACCTTCCGAACATTGAGAAACTCGATCTGGTCAAAAGCCCTAATGATCACCCATTCCTTCCTCGCTCGGTGGAATTCAACAGAGAAGCAATGATCGGTACGAAGATTGTTGAACACATCACCAAATCCAAACGAAGGTAGACAAATGTCGGCATCTACAAAAACGAAATCAACCACCATTTCGCGAACAGTCCGAAATTTCGGATGAACCCACTTGTTCCCGGAAATCCGACCACATTTTTCCCTTCGTCCTTCAGCTCATAAACCAACGGTTTCTCCAGAAGCACATCAGACAACACTAGAAAACCTTTCACACTTTCAGTATTGGAAACCTCGGCAACTTTACTCATTATTATACAAAAAAATTATAAATAAAAATACCTGACGCTTGTCTGTAAATCAAGACAACACTCGTCAATAAACAGTACCAACAAGAATGCGTTTCATCAAGCAGCAAAAAACCAGTGTTGTATTCAGAACAATGCTTCTGGAAAATAACAGGTACAAAACAACAAACAACACACACACTTCCAAGAAACTTTCTCTACAAATGAAAAACCAAACTTTCAACACAAGTACGTGCAGACAGAAAAAAAACATATTATGGGAGAGATCTTCGTTTCTTGTTTCCTCAAATTAAATAGAAAGGCAACAACCGATTCCTGGCTTGCCTTCTCCCGATTTACGACATTTGTTTCATAAAAATGAATCAAGCCAGAAGCGAGGGGAAGAGCCGGGTTTTCGGCCGCATCTTCAGAGTCATCGGCTCCAAGACGGTTTCACTGAAGCCCCGAGGCGATGACCCACTGCCTTCAACGAGGACAGAGTTCGTCAATGACGTGTACCCTGGAATGCCCGTCGGCTCAGCTTTGAAAGCATTCGCCACTAGAGTCGGTCGCCCAGTTCCGTTTTCCACGGCTTTGCACAAAATCACCTCCACTTCATTGCTCTGAAAATCCAGGATCAAACGAAGAATCCATTGAATTTATAAAGAAAATACGCACTGCATATGCATACATATAACAATTGAAATATCACAAAAAAACGAAGCAAACCTTTCTCGAAAGAGATAAAAGCCGCGGAATAAACGATGACATCAAGAGAATCAGATGATGTAAGATTTTACACATAAAGTTGAACGTGGATAGCTCGAACCTGCCATTGTCGAATTATTTTCAATTCACTATCTGAGTTCATTCGGAAACAGTGCAATAAAACCTCTTCAACTCGAATTTTCTCGAGGCTCATTCGGAATTATTTTATTCACACGGGAAAGAGAAAAGCATGGAAAACGTAACTGGATGCGTTTCGAAAGGAAGTGAAAAACTAAGAAAAAGAATAAACCCCTGTCATCAACTTTGGCATCCTGTCAACTCATTCAAGAAGCAATTTATGGTCCAAAATACCACAAAACTATTTCCTATGATTCTTTTCCTCAATAAAAAGGGCTTGTTTCTTCTTCTAGCTCGAGTTTTTTGCTGGTCCCTTGAAAAAGAGGTTCGACCATACTGTAGTCAAACTAGAACGACTTTCGCCTAACTTTTGACGATTTACGATCATTTACGCACCCCGAAGCGAGTCGTCAAATATGTCTCTCGAATTCATAACTTACTTTTCTCTTATGCATATTCAACCTTTGATAGAACAACTGCTTCTTCAAAGAGTCAGATTTCGTGTTGATCGGAGTGATGATGTCTTGGACAGCTTCCGCCAAAGGATCAAACGCATTTTCCGAATGCTCCGTGGGTAACCGTCTCGAAGTCACTTCGTGTATCTTTTTATGCCTGATAAAACAGGGAAATTTTCTTTGAAGTCGGAGAAAAAAATTTGTTGTACAGTATTCAATACAAAATCACCTGCAATACGACGACGGTTCGGCAAAGGTTCGGTTGCATACTTTACACCGAAATTTCGGCTCGCCGGAATGTTTCCTTTCGTGGCACTTGAGTTGGTATTCTTGCGTGTAGGACCGGTTGCATTGCTTACAACTGTAACGAACCCCGTTGTGGATGTCCACGTGGCGCAAATAATTCGCACGCTTCGAGAACTGCTTTTTGCACAATTGGCAACAGTAGAAGTCCACTTCTCCTTCATGTACTTGTTGGTGAATGTCTCGGTCCTACGGCACAATATACACAATTCAAGACACATGACTTCGTCAGGTTGACACGAGTTGAGTTTTTAATCGATACATTCCATGAAGCATTCGAACTTAAAAAGGTACATTTCGAGATGACAATATTAAAAATTTCTGGCACTTTTCCTGTCAATGGAAATCGCAGTAAAAGAAAAGAAGAACTGAAATTGATTTCTGGAAAGAACTGAAACAGTAATTCAAAATTGATACTGTACTGAACTCACTTCTGCACTAGGGTAAACGGCTTTGCAACGTTCACATTCATACACAACCCGTCCTGTGGTGTGAGTTTCTTCATGAAGCATCAACGACGGCTTCGAAGGAAATTTTCGACCACACATGGCACAAGGAAATCTAGCATAATATTTTCTTCTTCTCGGAAGCCGCGACTGCAAGAAATAAATAAATAAATGCAGGAATTTATGATAATGTTTTCGAAAAGCATCAAGAAGACTTACCATGACGAAGCCCTCGGTTTCATTAAAAGTTTCAATCATTTGTCTGTCCATTCGTCGCTCAACACGACATGAATCACACTCGTCTTTTCCCGGCTGCATTTCAGCTAAAGAACAACACCGACTGCATCGAAAAATTCCTTCTTTGGCGTGCTGGAGAACGTGGCGTAACAAAATGGATCGTTTGGAGAATTTCAAGTTGCACACTTCACACGTGTAACGTTCTTTCAAAGGGATCATTCTTTTTCGTATCTTGGGATCAGTTAATCTTTGGTTCTTAATGCTTTGCTGGGTTTTTTGAACGAAGTCGAACCAGGCCAAGGCATCGTCCTCTTCGCGAGCAGACATAGATTCACCCACTTCGTCTTCCGGAATAAATATCCAATCTCTTTCTTCGCAATCCGTGTAGAACTCGTTCACTTCTTCAACGAATTTTTCCATGACAGTCAACGATTTGCTGACTTCGTCGTCCAGAACGACAGCAGGTGCTTCTTCGTCTTCGTGTTGAAGTTCTAGCTGAGACTCCAGGGAAAGCTCGGGAAGGCCTTTCTCAAGAACTGAAACAATTTTCAAGATATTCCGCTTCTCAGTTTCCTTGTCGTCCCAATTCACGAGTTTAGACAGCGTTAAATCGACATCTACGTCTTGGACAGCATCGTCTTCCATTAGTTCAGAACGGGGTTTCAGGAAGGCATCGATTCGGTGGGTGATCTTGATTCCATGAGCGGCAGCGAGGTGTTTAGCGAATATTCTAGGCAGTGACAATGCGCATTGCGGGCAGTTGAATCTTCCATTCAATAAGCCGTCCAGTTCGAGTAACTCTTTCTCGATATAGGCGACTTTCGTCGCGATTCGACGCGCATTGATCATTTTCGCCGCAAAAAAGATAGCACGTTGAAGTGGTTGACGTCTTCTATCAGCTCAAGAACCTCAGATACCCTTGAACCACAGAGATTCCTGTCTCGCCAAAATCCTAACACGGAGCATACCTTGAGGAGCTCTGTGAAGAACAATAAAGGAATTCCACATTGTAAAAAAACTGGTATAACATTATAAATAAAATCACGAGCGCCCTGAGCCATTTGACTCAAGTAGCGCTAACGCAAAATCGCACACAAATTATCACATCAAACATGAGCGATACATTTCGTTTTCAATCATCCAGTTAGCGAGTGGAACACTTCACACTCGCCGAAGATGAATACAATCATTCCGGAACAGATTGAGACACAATACTGGCAATCTCCTTCCCCTGTCGACTTCAGGAACCAAATCCCGCGGATACTCGTCCGCCGAAAACTGGGGTTACTATAGAGGCATCCATGTTAGTAGAGCGTATTGCCGAATGCAACGAACATCGGGGGGTTCCAACATTGCTTTATTGACGCGTCATATGCATCATATACATTATTTGTACCATTAAAAATCTAAAAACCGATCCCAAACACGACTCTTTTGCCATCGCCCGCATCCGAGCCAAGTTTTCTTCTCCGCATCAGATTTTCGTGGCTTCTGATCACGTCTGCAATTAATGGCAGGACACCGGGCGTCACTCTGTCCTGTGGCAACGCGCGGAAGTTTTCATCAACCGCGTACTTTGGTCGCAGTGGCTCAACCACAGGTGTCGTTTGAAAACCTTCGGAAAAAGTTGTTTCCGACGTTCCTGTTGAAACCGACGACCCAGTGGAAATTCGTCGATTGATTTTCGTTGCTGCGTGAAGTTCAGGCCCTGACCAAGGCTTGACTTCGATAACTCGAACCCCTGAAGTTGCTGGTCTCCTGCTGGGAGCTGCTGAAGCAATCTGTCTGATCTTTGTGATGAACCTCCCTCCTGAGCTGGTGGTTGGTCTTTTAGCTTCAAAAAGGGTCGCTCTGGTCGTTCCTTCTTCAGCCTGGAGCAATAAAGCACATTTGTATGAAATTATGGTTTATATAGATTTACTTCAACTCAGCCAAGAACGTGCAAATTACGCAAATTACCTTTTTAAGATGAGATAATTGCTGGTGGACTCCATCTTGGATTCTTCTCAAATTCCCAATCAGGACACTGTTAACATCTGGCAATTGAGTCCAACCCATTTCTAGCTTCACCATTGAATCCTGAGAGTTGCTTTTGAGCACATGGGTCCTTTTCTTCCTCTTCTTGGTCTCATGGGTTTTGTGGATCAGATAAACAATTACCATTACAACAGCAAAAGTAGCCATGACAGTCAAAGCTGTGCTGGTTCCATGGAATTGAAGGTAAGGGAGAGGAGTAACAATAATGGTGTCATTCTTTGGTTGCTCAGTTGTTGTTTCGTCATCCCCTACTTGTTTGAATTCTGGAACTTGATTGGAAATCAGCAAATTCTTAGAAACAGTCACATTCTCTGCTGGAATAATTGCTGAAGATGCTGAATTTGTAATTTCTACTGAAGGGCCATCAGAAACTGTCATGTATTGACTTGTGTTTGTTTTCACAGGATATTCTTCATTTGCTGCTGAAAATTTCAAAGTTGTTCCTGCTGAATTTTGAAAACCTCTGGAGTACCCAGGACTGCTGGTTTCTGTTCTATAACTGAAACTAGTTGTTTCTGAATTGCTTGCAGGACTTGCTGATTCTGAATATCCTGGAGTAGTGCTTATCTGAAATGGCTTGGTTGTTTCTGGCTCAACAACAGGTACTTCATCAGGATCAAACAGAGCAGGTCCTTTTAGTTGGAAAAAGCCTCTTCTTTTGGTCCATGATACTGAACCATCAGCAGTAGTTATTGCTGGTACCTGTAGTATTCCTGGAGTTGTTGGTTCAGGTGTTGCAAAATCTTCTCCATTATTTTCAGGAGCTGTCAGAATTATTGTGGGAAGAGCAGTTGAAGTCAGTGCTTGCTGCTCTTGTTCACGCGTTGAAAATGTGTCAATTGGTGAACTTGCCCTAGAAATTGAGAATCCCAGTTTGAAGACTTGATCCAACTCTGAAGTGTATTGCTTAGCCCTTGTTCCAATTGGCAACACTATGTTTGGAATAGTGAAATTCAGTGTCAATGCTTTTTGGCTTGGTATAATTGCTTGAGTTATGACACTTGATGAGGGTTCTTTTAAAGTTGAACTACCCAAGCCCACACTTTGAGGTCTTGGTGTTGAAGTGGATCCAATTCCCAGCATTGGCAAGTCTGTTTGAGGAATTGTGAACCTAAAATTGGGTTCAATGGAAGTAGTTTGATCCTTTGCTGGAAAACTCATCTTTTGAGATGTTTGATCAATTGATGGAAATATAATGGAAGTTGCCTTGATCTCTTTTTGATTATCTTCTGCATCTGCTGAATTGGACAGTTTAATTGTTGGCAGTGCTGGTGTGATGCTATCAATAGGAAACCATGTTGGCTGTTTTCCCAAGAAGGGGAAATCATTGGATCTATTGAGCAGTGGAAACAAAAGTTCTTCAATCTCTGAGACATTCACAGTTGAGTCACTTTCACTCCTGTTGAGGATTGGGTAAAGAAATTCATCACTGATTGTGGCATTTTGTGGTTCAGCTTCATCAAAATCTGTATTTTCAGTGAGGTTTTGTCCTAGGAATGATTTGGTTGAGGTACCAGGTTTCAATGCTCCACTTAAAATCCATGCCCCAGTTTGTTGTTGACTTGACCCATTATTGACAGTGTTTATCCCAGGGCTTCTCAAAATGGAAACACTACTGCTGGAAAATGGTGCTGTTCCATTTCCAGAAGTAGGAAAGTCAGTTTTTTGTTCATTGCTGGTTGTTGTGAAAAGTGTTGATCCCCCAGGTTTCAAGGCCCCACTCAAAATCAAGGCAACTGTTATATTTGGTTGACTCATATCTGTAGCCATATTTGAACTAGGTGCTGTTTTGGAAGTAGAAGAAGGAGTTGTTGTGGACACAGATTTTTTATTGTCCATTGGCAACATTGCATTTGGGATTGTGAACACAAATCTGATCTGCTTCATCCCAGCACTTGTTGAAACAGTGTTTGCATCAGGTGGGTTGCTTGAACTGCCAGGTTTTAATGCCCCACTCAGAATCATTGCAACTGTTCTGGGTTTGCTTGAATCAGTGCTGGTTCCAACACCATCAGCAGGAGGGTCTCCCATGGGTTTCTTGGTCAAACTATTTTTAGCAGAATTCATTGTTGATTTGGTTTCCATTGGCAATATAGCATTTGGTATTGTAAACTTGAGCCTCAGATTTTCTGTGTCCAATGATGGTGATTTTGTAGAAGTTCCAGGCCTTAATGCACCACTCAGAATCATAGCAACTGTTGTATTTGATGAACTGGTTGAGTTGGTGATGCTGGTTTCATTGGGTTTAGTGTCCATGCCCCTGTTACTAGTTTCAGCTGGAGACATTGCTGAACTTATGTCCATTGGCAATGCTGCATCTGGAATTGTAAACTTGAATCTCAGATTTGCCTCTGTAGTTGAAAGAGTGCCCAAGGGCAATTTGGTAGATGTGCCAGGCTTTAATGCTCCACTGAGAATCATGGCAACTGTTTTTAATGAGATTGATTGAGGGCTGGTTTCAATCACACTTGCTGTGGCCTCCTTCTTCAAATTAGTTGCTGCTGGTGATGATTCATTCATACCCTTTGGCAATAATACTGCACTTGGTATAGTGAACATGAACCTCAGATTTCCTGGTGTAGTTGTGCCATCAGTTTCCAGAGGTGATTTGCTTGTAGTACCTGCTGGACTTAATGCACCACTGAGAATCATGGCAACTGTTTGAGATCCATTTTTTTCTTCAGTTTGACCAGAAAGATTCTTTGGGTTCACTGAGTTGACAGCAGTTGATGATGAAACATTTGCTGTTTCATTCTCAGCAATAATTGAAAATTCTGGATTTTGCATTGTGTAATTGTAACCAAGACTATATGTTACAGAATTCAGCAGCACAGAAGCAGTTGTGCTTTGTTTTGATCCAGTAATAGTTTCAAGGCTGCTCGTATTTTTCTTGGTCCTTGATGATGGAGAGGAAGAAATTGCAGATACTGTTGTTTTCTTGTCCATTGGTAAGACTGCATATGGCATTGAGAATCTGAGGATCAACTGAGTTTCAGGAGAACTGGACTGATCATTTCCACCTGGTTCATTATTGCTTAAAGGTGGGTTAGTTGAACTACCAGGTTTTAATGCTCCACTCAGTATCAGAGCCACTGATGATGACTGATTGATGATATTTGTGACAGCTGATGAGTCAAGAATTGAATGATTGGTGCTGGTGGCATTTGATGGAGTCAAACTTGAGCTGTTGCTTGCTAGTGTTTCTTGAGTAGACCTCTTTGTTCTCAAGAGCTCACTAATAGATGTCATTGCTTTTGAATCCACCATGGTGGTTGATGATGATTGGATTGTGTTGCTGATGGAGCCAATATTTTGAGATGTGTAACTTGAATTACCACCATCAACACTAGAAGGTACATTCATGAATACTGTAGGCTGCACAATAATCGTGCTTGGTCTGCTGCTGATGGGTGTAGAAGTTGTTGCCAAAACTCCTTTCAAAATCAATTCCCAAATACTTGGCCTTTTTGTAATAGGTTGGCTGGAATTCCCATCAGCAGCAATACTGTTCCCATCTGCAGGCTGAACACGTATAATACTTTTGTAGTCTAGAACACATTGGCCATCTTGGAAGGTGGTCTGTGGAGCACAGCTGCAAGTGGACAGAAGACAAACCATGTTCTCCTTCTTGGTGCACTGATAATCACTGGAGCAATGCTGCCCAAGGTCCTGCTGACACATTCTGGGCACAGGGCAAAACACACAGACTCCATGCAGGGTGCTGCAGGCTGACAAACTGCTGCTGACCCAACAATCCTCATCCTTTTCACACTTCAAGTCATCAGAATACAGTAAATTCTGAACAGGATGCACACTCAGCAGAATTAAAAGTGCAACAAGAGCCATCAGCAACATGGTTGAATAGACTGGTTTATCAGAACTTCCACCTGCAAGGCATAGGAGTGCTGCTGATATGATGCAGAGGGGGAATTCATTTATGAGGAGTTGCTATGGGGACAGAGTGGTAAACAAAAGACAGGTTCACTTGATACCTGGAACTGCTGCAAGGGATTGTCTTTCCTCATCAGGCTGAAGTATTTTTAAAAATTTTATGCTGAAATTACCAACAAATTTACCCAGCATGCAGCAGCGCACATATAATGGTTCCCAATTATTCCAACATAGAATCTCGTCCACAGCAAGCAGCAGTTTATTAGAAGTATTATTTTATTCTACCTTGACCCCTCAGGTGATTGAATGCTTACATTGTATCAAGTATATTCCCATGCTCATCAGTTAATGTGATTCCTTATTGATTTTGAGATCAATCTTGTTGCCATTATTTTTGATAATTGAGCATGCATGCTTCAATGTTCTTATGTTAGGCTGGTTACATTGTAATTGGCTTTTTAGTTAACATTATGGCAAGTGTGATTCCTGTATGTATTGTGGATAAAGCATTGAAAATTCAAGGTTCCCAAAAAATGTATTTATGGTGTCTGGAGCATTTACAATATTTACATCAAATGATGTAAAATCTTAAGTCATTAAAATTTTTTGGAATACTGTACATCTTGATTTTGAGAAGAACAGAGAATTCCAGGAATGAGATGAATTACTGTAAACGCACAAACCTCATAAAAAATTGTATACCATTTTTACTTTTTTGTTTATCCAAATTATCAATATCTGGTATGTTGTTTTGCTACCACAGGCAAGAATTATTCAGGAAAAATTCTACCTCTATGAACTTGGGATGACACAACCTATTGAGAATAATAATTTCATCAGAATTCATTTGAAATCATCAGATGTCTCCCAGATAAGATGTATTTTATTTACAAATTACTACAAAAAATAATTTGGCATGATCTGATGCAACAATTTTTTGACAAATACAGCATATGCTGTGGTACAATCACAATCTTTGGCAGACATGAATTTTCCATTGAATTGCTCCTGAGTGTGATCCTGCATTTTACATACCAACAGACTTGTTATGGTTGAATGAATATTAAAAGAAGCTACATTTCAGAAAAAAATTGTCTGGAAAAAGATATACAATTGAAACTGAAATATATCCCTGAAACCGTGAATAGGGATACAGTAAACTCAAATTTGGCATGATATTGCTGAGTATCAACTTGAAACATAAGAAAGAAGTTAAATTCAGTAAAGGAACCACATTCTTCAAGATGAAAATATTGCTTTATTAAAAAAGAGCCCATAACATATTGATGAAAGAGCTATTAGAATCCAATTCCAAAAAGCACATTTTTTTCTGCTCCAAGCTTGGCAGCCTTAACAGCACTTTCATGAGTCCTGATGATATCAGCCACCAAAGGCAAAGAGTCTTCTTCAGGGGCCAGCAACTGCCTCCAAAGAGGTGGAAACAGTGGTGAATACAAAGTTGACTCATACTCAGGTCTCTGTTGCTTATCATTATTGCTTGACAAGTTGCATTGATTTTTTTCCTCTGCAGACAAAGACCGATAACGCCTGATCTTCAATGGATTCAAATGTTTAGCAATAGGCCTCTTATGGGTTTTATAACCAGGCCTGAGCTTTTCATAGCTTCCCTGCAAATCTGGCAAGTCTGTGAGGAGTTTCCTGTGAGCAGGATTGCTTCTGGCTGTGGACACTGGAGCACTGCTTATTGGGTGTGCTGAATGAGATGCTGATGAAGAAGATGGCAGATTGTCTCCTTCTTCAATGTCTTTGGAGTTTGGTGACACTGTGATCTTGATATGAGTATTTTGTTTGTTCTTGTTGATGAGTTGCTGATGGATGGGCACCAGAGGGCGCATGAGGAACTGTCCACTGCCAAGACTTGAGTCTAGCAAAGAGTTCTGATTATTTTTGACTGGTTCCAAGGCTATGCATCTCCCTGAAATGCTGACAACTTGCACCTGAGAGAAAGCAGGATGTGAGAAATACTGAATTCATGAAATTTGCTCAACTGGCATACTCAGGAGAATTCAGAAAATATTCAACATACCTTATGCGGAACATTTGCTTGAATTGGTAATTCATTGGAGATCTCTGTGAACTCTTGAGATCCCCTACATGTGGCAAGTCCAACTTCTTGATATACATTATTCTTCCTTCTGCCTGGCACCCTGTAGAAGTCTGAGGCAGGATGCATTCCCAGCTCAACCTCATACAGTGTATCCTCATCATCAGACTCCTCCCTTGAGTTGTGAGTCTTCATCTTCTTTTTGAAAGCATGAGTCTTGTAAATTAAACCAAGGATGACTAAAAACAATCCAATTGTGGACAGGGAAGACAGGACTCTGCTGAGCACTGCCCTTTGTCTGATGAGCTCCAAGGCCTCTGGAGACACTTTCCTCTGAGAAATGGCTTCATCCCTGGAAGTTGGGATGAGGGGGAGGATAAGACTTGACTGGGTTGTTGTTGTAGTTGATGAATGCTGAATAGAGGGGATGTTGTCAACAAAGGCCTTGTTTGACCTGGAATGATCCTCAGCAGGAGAGCCTGGCTGAGGAACTGTTCTTTGACCAGTTCTGGGACCAAAGGTGTTTCTTGACCTTATTGTTGAAGCTTCCCTGCCAGAAACCTCCAACAGGGATTTTGGTATAGCAACAGTTGTACTTGACAGAGGATTATCCACTGGGGACACTGGAATCCTTGATGTGTCCTCATCATGTCCAAGATCCTTGCCAGGCAGCACCAGTTCTGATGTCACTGCATTCAAATCAATAGGCTCTGTTGTAGGCAATACTTGAGGGTAATTTGAAGATTGAGTCACTTTGAAAACTGAATCTGGTTGACTAGATTCAGACACAGGAATATTCTTCTCAGATGTGAAATCAAATTGTCCAAATGCCTTGGTCTGATTTCCTGTTGCTTGAGAATTTCTAGATGTGTCTAGAAGTATTGAACTTGTTATGGTCATAGTGCCAGGAATCATTGAAAAGGAAACTGAATTAATTTCAGTAGAAAAAGAAGGTGAGCTATTTTGATCAGCTTGACTTTTGGTTGAAATCTTTCCTGTTTCTCCGCTTGACATTGTTGTGAATAATGAACTATTGAAAGCAGAATATTCCGAAGTTTTCTCCATAATTGATGAAGATGTTTTCAATAAACTTCCAATCCCTTCATGAGGTGAAGGAGACGAATATTGATAATGAGAAGTTGATCCTTGAGGCACAGATTCAATTTTGACAGAAGAAGTATAAATATTTGTTGGATTTGATGTGGGTGATTGTTTTTGCCCATTGAGGGATGATGAGTTTCTTTCAAAAGATTCAGCAGTTGATCCATTTGATGATTTTCCTTCTTGAACTGGAGAAATTGAAGGAGACCAAGAAGTTGACCTTTGAAATGCAAATTTTGTTACCAAAGGAGGTGAAATGGTAGCATCTGAGGTCAAAGATTTGTTCAGGTCAATTGAAGCTACTGTCCTTTCAAAATATGATCCAGTAGTTGATTCAATAGATGATTTTCCTTCTTGACTTGAGGAAGTTGAAGAATGAGGCTGAGAAGTTGACCTTTCAAGTGAAACTTCATTTTTGAAAGAAGTTGAAATTGTTGCATCTACTGATATCAAAGATTTGTTGAGTTCACTTGAAGCCATGTTTCCTTCAAAATATGATCCAGTAGTTGATTCAATAGATGATTTTCCTTCTTGACTTGAGGAAGTTGAAGAAGAAGACTGAGAAGTTGACTGTTCAAGTGAAGCTTCACTTTTGAAAGAAGTTGAAATTGTTGCATCTACTGATGTCAAAGATTTGTTGAGTTCACTTGAAGCCATTTTTCCTTCAAAATATGATCCAGCAGTTGATTCAGTAGATGATTTTCCTTCTTGTGTCAAGGGCATTAAAGAAGCAGGCTGGGAACTTGATCCTTGAAGCCCAACTTCTGTTTTGAAATCAGATGAAGCATTTCTTGCATCTGATGTAGAAGATTGAGTTGGTCCACTTGTAGCAAGGTTTTCCTCAGAAGAAGCCTCATCTACTGTTCCTTTTGTTGATTTTATTGCAGTCACTGAATTGAGCAAAAATTCTTCTGTTGTGAGATCCTGGATTTAAAAAACATTTACACCATGATTATCATCAGAACAAAACCAAAAATGGCAATTATGAAACAAACCCTCATTCCTTGAGCAGATGAGCTGGTTTCTGTTCCAGTAGCAGTGATAGTAGACTGAGTTATTCCTTTTAATGCAGGATTGGTTGTGAAAACCACTCCTGTATTTGTCTCAATCCCCAGAGCTTCAGTGGATGGAAAAGTTGAGGGTTTGAAAAACTTTGATTCTTTTGATGTTTCTGCAGCAGTCAGTGCTGAAGTTGCAGAAAATCCTGGACTTTCACCTGTGGAATTCTAACCAAAGAGTTGAAGAAATGTGGTCAAATGACTTCAATAACTGATTGTAACATACAAATTGTAACAAACCTTCATCCCAACAGATGAGCTGCTTTTAATCACAGTGGAATTGATGGTGAAAGGATTTAACTCAGGCTTGTTTATGGAACCCATTGCTGCTGGACTTGTCCCAACTTCAGCACTTATTGAGGATTTCAACAGAATTGACTCTGTTGTTGATGCTGACACACTTGCAGTTTCAGAAGTGAAATTCTATGCAAAAGAGTATGACAAAAAAATTACATACTCTAGCAGTCTAGCCAGGGCTCAAGAGAAGAAAAAAATGTATGTTCTCAACAAACCTCTGATCCAGCAGAGAATCCATTAAGATAAAGAAACTGAGCACAGTATTTGTTGCCCATCTTCATGACACCCCCAGCACACTCACAGTTCCAGTACACACATCTCTGCACAGGGTTGCCAACACACTGCAGACCCCTTGAACACTGGGATCCAAAGTACAGGGCACACATGACACCTGCATTCCTGCATCCCACACACACATGCATGGTGTCACTGCACACAGCTGAGGCATCTGATGCCATACATTGTTCCCTTGTTTCACAGGGCACAAAATCTGGTGTTTCAGGCTTTGGCAACAGGTTTCCAATGGCCTGGACAATGGTTTCAAAGGGATTGAATGCCTCTGCTGATGCTGGGTGCCAATTGTTAGTGGTGCAGGCTGCCACAAAAAGCATACACAGGTACCAGATTCCATCCCACATCATATTTTCATAATCTTGAATCACAGTCTAGCAGAGAAATAAAAGCCAGTGATTAATCTATTTTGTATCACAGTACAGGGCAAAATTTTGCACCTCTTGCATTATTTTTACCACGTTTTTATGAACTCACTTTCTTGTCTGTCTGTTTGTCCAGATCAAATTTTGAAACTCAAAAGTTCCTGGAGACGGGTGAGGCAAAGTCTTGTTGAGCAGCTCACTTTTCCTCTTCCTCACTGTTCCTTTTGTTGATTTTATTTGTGTTCAAGATCATTTTTTTCAACAACCCCCAAAACCCTCCACCCTGAGAGGATTTTCATCATAAGTTTTTGTCTTCCATTTATGTTCCAAGAACCCATCACATTCCTATTTGAGAAGAAACACTTGTCAGGAATTTATAACACATTAATCTGAACATACTTCATATACAAGTTTAGTTGTATAGATATCTGCATTTGTTTAGACAAAACTTTTCAACACACGCTTTATTATGCTTGGACTTGAGAAAAAGTTTGTTATACTGAAAAACTTTTTGCAATATTTGTTTTAAAAAGTTTTCACAGAACGCTCAACAATTATTGTTGAACACCAAAGAACAAAACAATGAAACTCTTTCCTCTCTTGCCATCTGGTCTGCAGTGACACTGAAAGGAATAAGGTTTAAACACAGCAATGTCTATATACATATTCCCTTGCTTGACATTGGTTCCCCTTTTCCAGCAAGCCATGTTCCCAGAACTGTGACTTCATGACAGCAAACCTGCTGCATGCTGGTGGTGACCATGGATACAGTCCATCAACAACTTTCCTTCCACCCACTCCCTGAATGGCCCCACAATACATTCTGAGTGAGAGACCTCAGCCATTTCAACCTGACAACATGATATACTTGCAGGGTGCAAGTCAACTTTTGCTCAGGGCAGAAATAATGTAGCAGGGCAATAAAATGATCAAAGGCAAGTGGCATAGATACTAAAAAGAAGGAATCATATATTGTGCAGTCAAAAAATAATTTACAAGCGGGTTCCTGCATTAAAAAAAATTCCTTTCTGGATGCAATTTGTAGCAGACAATTTTTGAGCACGTGAAACGCGATTTCTCTCAAGTTTGAAAAAATCTTTCATCCATTCAAGAAACTGACATGAACACAATAAACCTGAGAAGCAGAGCATTTCTGCAGGCTTTCAACATGAAATCATAAATCTAATATGTTTTAGAATGACATGGGAATAACTAGACAAGTTTGTGATCTCGGCTTTATGAAATTTCCAAGACATATTCTCTTTGGCAGTCATTCGCAATTCTGAAGTCATTTCGTTTTCAATGATTCTTGCCACATTCAACATTTTCTGTTCTCATCATCAGTAGACAAAAATGTGAATAACAGGATATGTTTCTTTCAGCTATGCATATATAAGATAAGATTCTCCTCTCAAGCATGTGAGATGGTCTTACCTCTTTTGGAATACTGTACAGTACAAAAAACTGCCTGAAGATTATATAAAAGTAAATTGCCTCGGATTCATGTTGTTGAACCATTTACGCTGTGGTCTGCTGATATTGTGACGTAAAAAATTGGAGAATATTATGCACTCACATTTTGATTGTTCCTCGCCATTAGGACACACAAACACGCATCAACCCACTTTTCTGTGAAAACCATGTAGCACCAATCTCCGCAGCATTCCAAATGCTTTTTCCCCCCCGACACTGAAATTCAAAAATACTTTGACTTTGCAAAATTAATTCGTCCTCTATCACGCAATAAAAAGAAAACCAGAAGCACAGTTGTAATGTTCGAGAGTTTTATTTCTTTAATGGCTAGAACACAATAAACTAAATTAGCGCGGACAAATTTGAAACTAAGGGAAAAGAAAGTTCCTGGAGACGGGTGAGGCAAAGTCTTGTTGAGCAGCTCACTTTTCCTCTTCCTCACTGCTGGTGGCTGCTCATTTGATGACCTGCAAAACGAACAATTCCCACATTTTCACATCTTCATTTCAACAAAAAAATTGGCATAAATACAGCTTCTATATGTATACTAAGAACCAAAAAAAAAAATGACTACTTGAAATGCCTTGAAAGTTTCGTTGCCACATAATTTCACACATTTAAATCAAGGAAATTGTAATAAATAATGTATCAACATATGTACCTATATCCTATATGTATGTATATATATATATATTTATAAACGTTCGGGAATCTTACCTGAAAGGAAAGGCAAGCCGGAGGGAAACATGCCGGAAAGCGGGTGTGGGTGCGGGTGCTGGTGTGGGTGTTGCGGCGGGGCCTGCGGCTGCGGTGGGCCGGCATGCCCGCCCACGTGAGGGCCCGGGTAACTCGGGTAATACACGATCTGGCCCGGCGACGGTCCCAAGGACGTGGTGGGCGTCGTGGCGCCTGCACTCGACGTCGGGGTCGGGGGAGCGCCATTCCCGCCTCCGCCGCCGTTTCCCGCTCCTCCATTGCCTGTAGGGAAGAGTCGAGGCTCACGATCAGGCATCAGAAACAACATTTTCCCTGACGGCTTTTCCGAAAAAGACGATGCCTCGAAAACTAGTCATTTTCATTTTTGCCTTATTATCAAAGCGCAAAAGTATATTCGGGATACCCCATAGTTTTCGAGAAACACATTTGAATCAATTTCCAAAATTGTATCCCATCGTTACTTTGAAAAATAAAAACCTGCCTCTATTTTCTCCGGGTGACGTACGGTTAAGTACGGTACTTGTCTTTTAACCTTTTCTCCAAAGAAACACGATAAATCCGTGTCTTTCTTTTGTTAAATTTAAACCTACCATTATTAGATGGCGTACCAGGTGCTCCTTGGTGGTGGAACATGAGCTGTTGCTGTTGCTGCTGGGGCGGCAGAGGTGGGCCCGGAGGGCCAGGCGTATTTCTTGGGGTAGAATTGGGTCCCGGGCCCATGCCGGGTTGTTGTGGCGCACCTTGCGCGAACTGCTGGGCACCACCGTCGAAATTGAACGTCGGCACCATCGGCACCGCTCCTGGCGGCATCATGTAAAACTGCAACAAGGAGAAAGACACGATCAAATTCCTCCTTCTACTTCTCGTGATCAAAGATATAATTTTTTTCTTCTCCGACTGAGTATCAACGTGCAACACATATTTCGTCATGAACCAATCGACTTTCACCACGTTCACTCAAATTTGATGAGCAGTTTTGATTCAAAACGGAGAGCGCGTCTTACAATTTACGGCGTCTCAGACTCACAGGCATATTTTAAACAAGACATTTTCCCGAAAGAAACTCAAACCACATTTTTCCACTTTCTGCACGGTCCCTTTGTAAGTAACCCTTTTGTCTTTTCTAATCACAAAAAGAAAAAACGAAGGAAAAAATCAAACACGTACTTGATAGGGGAAAGAGGGGGTGTAGTTGACGAACTGCTGGATCCCAGGAATTCCTCCTGAGCTTGCGGCGAGTATTGGCTGCCCCGTGACGGCAGCTTGAGTAGGAATTTCTTGACGAACCCCAGGTCCATGGTTCGGAGGTCCACCGCCAGGACCGCCTCCTACGCCTAAAAAAAAGATGAATAAAAAATTCATTCTGAAACTAGCCAAGCGTCATTATATCGTACTAAATTGAAATAAATTTCAAGAGTGATAAAAAGTTTCATTACTGCACGAAAAACGCAACTGACTCTTCAGTTTCTTTTAATCTCTCGTAGAAGATGGATGAAATACGCACGGAAATTTTACGTTGAAACAACAAAGCAACAAAAATAAATTTCTCCATGCGAGGCGCAAATTCTATCACGCTTGGATTCAACACACGCATTACTACATATTCGACGAGTAGGTGTCGCTCGTGCAGTTCCCTCTCACCTTTGAAACGTGGCTGCTTGCCAGGCTGGAAGCTCGCAGCAGCAACAGCAGCAGCGTGCGACGACGGAACAATGGGTAGGAACGGCGAACTCAGATAGTAAGGGAATGAGCTCGCAGATGGCGGCAGTGGACCATGAGCTCCTAACTGTCCAGGCAGCTGACCACCTGGCCCATGTGGGCCACCCCCGTGATGCAGGGACAGCCCCGTCAAGTGAGGCATGGTCATGGCGATTTGCTGACCTGGTGGCATCATTGCTTGTTGCTGCGGCGTATGTACCCTAGGTGGCGTTGTAGTACTCGGAGAACGCTGCAAAAATACACCCTCGCATCATCGAACAAATTCTACACACAATCGAAATACTAAAAACGAAATAGCTTACAGGAGTGAAGGCCTTCGCATTGGGGTTTAGTACGAACTCCTTGGCATTCGGGTTCAATGTGGACCCGATGCTTTTATCTGGAATAGGGGCGACATCTGTGGTGGATACTGCACTGGCTACACTAGGTGTCGCTTCGGGTTCACCGCCTCCAGCATTGGGACCCGCTGTCATTCCGGGTTTTGGCGTAGAGCCCGGAGTGTTCCGCGGCTCTTCACCAGGCACTGTTGCTTGTGGCGGTTGTTGCAGTTGTTGTTGTTGCAATAATTGTTGTTGCTGCTGTTGCGGTGGACCGCCTTCAGACAGCTGGAAATCTTTGCCGAATTTCTTGAGCTCTGCTGCTGTGTCCCTACCTGCAAGTACAGTGAAATTTTAAACAATTTAGTGAATTTCGCCAACAACAAAATCACCAAGACAAGTTTTCTGGCAAAAAAGCGAAGAAATACTGCTCGAGAATTCAAGAACTAATTAATATCGCTCAAAAGTTTCCTCACTTTTTCCGCCACCTAAATTAGGCCCTGGTTGACGATGGTGCTGATGATGAGAGCCCATTCCTCCACCACCGCTACCACCACCACCCTGTGATGGTGGACCTTGTCTACCTGGTGGTGACTGATTCGGTTTCTTCCCTCTACCTGCACGTAAAAAAAAAATTGCGTCAGATTTCAAGAGTGAAAGAATGTTTACGAATTTCTCGACTTTGACAAATGCAAAACACAAAATACGCAGATTAATCACCTGACTGTTCTTGTTGCTTTTCCGCAGCTAAATGCGCCCGTCGTTGAGAAGCTTCCACACGTTGCGGCAATCCTCCTGACGATTCAATTTTTTCTTGTCTAACATCTGAAATAAAATGTCAATAAATGAGTAAATAAATTCAACACACGAATAAAATCCCAAATGAGACAATGCTCAGCTAAAATTAAAAAAACGAACATCATTCTACTGCATGACGGGCAGTTAGATCAGATGTAAACAAAACAAAAAAAAGGAACAAAAAAGTGCAATTTAATACATTTTTATTAACCCTGACAGATGAAAATTTTCAACTACTGTGGAAATATTATATCCATATGCAACATGAATTAACTTTCTTCGGGGTCACCAACGAAACATAATCGAATTCGGCAACAAAAAATTCAGCGCCGAGGGAAGGAATTTGACAATATATGGAAGACGAACCTTTCTGCAATTTATGATTATCCGGCCCGGGCCGAGTGGGTTGAGCGTGGGCGGTGCCTGCGACGATGGCGGCAGCCGTGACCACCTGCGGAGGCGCCATCTGTTGCTGCTGCGGCGGCGGTTGCTGTTGTTGTTGTTGCGGAGGGCCAGCATTAACGGACGGCGCCACCGCCGCACTGGCCGGCGGCGACGGACGGAGCCCGCCTCCTCCTCCTCCTCCACTACCGCCGCCGCCACCACCACGCGGACCGACGCGATCAGCGCCGTTTTTACGTCGACTAGGCGGCACATACTTTCCAGAACCGCCGCTTCCCGGTGATCCGATCCGCGGCTTCTCCGGTCGGTGCACTGCAGCAAACTGGTCTTCTTCATTCCCATTCTCCAGCTCTGCGTTCGCCTGAATTTGAAAATAAAAGTTCAATGCACATCATCATCATACATCATCATATTCATGAATTACGAGGGTTGTCCCACTTGGACGTGACTTCGGTTATTTACATGATAAATATTACAATTATATAACTCATCATGTCCTCACGTTCTTGAAGTTTAAAACGAGAAAATTAGAATTTACAAGATAATGAGTGAAAACTTCCTCGCTACGGCAAGAGTTCTCGACCCATGTCAAACAATTTCCAGGTCAGCTAATGAAAACTTTAAAAACGTTCCTTGTTCTAATCATATTTTCTACAATTTAGATAATGGGACTCACAAATCCTGCAATTGGCCTTTTTTCAACACATCCAAAAAGATTCTCCAGCGGCACCAGATGCAAGAACTAAAAGAAAACCAACAGAAACTCACCCGACTGGCGAGTGAGCCTTCAATCTCGGCCGCCTTCAAGGCGGCTATCCGCTCGCGCTCTCGGAACTCCTCCGTGTCTTCCCGTCGCAACGGCACCGTGTAACCCGACAGGTCGTCCTCATACGTCGACTTGACCTTAAAGTCCTGCGCGTTCTTTCGAAACATTTCCTCCGCGTCCCAACCATTGGAATTGTCCTCGAGCATCAGCGAATCGTCGCCGTCGTCTGGCCCTTCCCAGGGCTGCAGGTCCTTGGACTGCAATTCGCCGTTGAAGCGACCACTGATCGTCCCGTCCGTCGCAAAACCAGCAGTGATATCTACAAGTGAAAGTGAAAGGAGTTTAAAAGAGGCTTTTTTCAACCTCACAGAGTTCAAAATCGGACAATTTCCCATCGACACTCAGCACCCACACATTCAGCGGAGGTGGCCATCAAATCTACAATACAGTAGACGAATTTCCCTCAAAAATGGGGTGCACGTCCTACTCGGAGATACCTATTCATCAGAATTATTGGCTGAAAAATCCTGGGGCATGTCCTACTCAAGGGCAAGTAATACTTGAGTGAATCAGGTATTTTGCCCGTAGTGGAAACACTGAACCGAACCTTTCTTTCTAACAAATTCCTCAATTTAGCGCCAGGACAAGTGACGGCAGCGAATCGAGATCTGACTTTGATTTCACTAGGACGTCGCCATCATCAGTTCGTATCCACTCACCCTTCGTGGCGTATTCCAAGGATATATTCTCCACGATGATACGAGCAATGCCAGACGCCGGAAACACCATTTCCTCGCTCACTAGGTTCCGCTCCAGGTGCCCGGGCTTCCCTCCCACCACCAGGTGCACCAATCGCAGCGCCACATCGAACCTTGGTGACACCGTGTGGAACACACCCTGGTATTGCTTCCCGTCTGACGTGATCACCTGCGAAACACAAATTTCAGTTCATTCAATCAATAAAATAACTTCAATCTCTGCCAGGACTTGACAAGCTTATTATACTGACAAACTTTGAAGCAACTGGATTTTACTGTTTTCTTAAATCAATATGGAAGAGTACCCACCGACATCTCTGTGCCCACCAAGCTAGCGATGGTGTGCATGAATCGGCCACCGAGGTAAATACCCTCTGCGTCAGACGACCGGAGATCGGCGGCGCTGGGCGTCTGACGGGCGCCGGAGGGCGCCGCTTGCGACGACGTTACTGGCTTCCCACTTTTCATCGTCTGCCGAATCTGCCGGGCCCGTCTGGTGCCGGAATTCATTGCTTTTCCCTCGGCAATCAAGTCAATGTTCCTCAAGCGACTTGCTCCTCTTCAAGGCTGCACATCAGCTTGCATAAAATTGCCTTCAGTCTTCCGTTCAATTCTTACAGATACTATATTTATGTATATAATTTATTCTTATTTTTTGCTCTCTCTTCAGCAAAGACAAAAATTCGCACGGGCGGACCAACGTTCTTTCAACACCTAGTTTCTTTCAAAAAGTTCTAAAATATTTCTTCACGTACAGAAGAAATGATACGCAAAATCCACCTGCGGGACAATCGAAAAATCACATCAGGTCACATCCCGAGCCCAAATTCCAGATTAAACAGTCATACATCACATGAGCAGCTAATGACCAAATTGAGTACACATTAATGAATCACAGCCTCATTTTGAAGCGAATCAATAAAAGACACAAGCTGCTCATCAGAATAAAAACATTCAAACCACACAGGAAGGCAAATGAATCTCTTCATTCAGCCTCAATTCAACACTTGTTCCGTTGACTAAAGAAAAAAACAGGAGTTTTGACATGACCACAAAAAACAAAATTTCGAAAGAGAAAACGTATTTTTTCCCGCTCTGCCAGACTCTCTCAGCTCTTCTGCGCCAGTTCCTCCAAATGCTTCTCTCGTTTCTTTTTGCTTTCCGTCAACATTTCCCGTTCCACAGGCGACATGTTGTCGTTTATCTTGGTCACAACTCCGGTTCCCAACGTCGTCTTACCTTCCCTTAGCGTAAATCTTGTCCCCAGTTCAAGAACCATAGGCTTCAGGAGCTTCAAATTTATCCTTGAGAGAAAAACGAAGCGTGAAACTTCACACACGGAACAGGAATACGACCAAAATTTTCAATTTCTACGGCAAAACGCGCAAATTTTTTTACATTTTGTACCATAATATCGAAAAATCAAGAAGTCGTCCAAGCATTCCTCACATGGAAGAGCGCCTCACTTTATTCACTAATCCGATATTTCTGTAAATTGTCCAGCTCCACCCCTTCATGCATCATATTGGCACTAAAATTGCATCAAGGAACTCACTTGGCATCTTCACCAGGCATGATCATGTCCTTGCCAGGGATAACAGAAAATGCCGCAGTATCCCATGTGCGAGAGAACATCACCATTTGATTAAAATTGGTGAACGGACGAGATCTGCCACCTTCTTCTTTGGACAAGATATAGACCTGAGTATAAAAATAAATTGTTACTGCAAAAAAAGAAAAAAATTCTTCGTCATAATTTTCAAACCTGCGCATCGATGTTATCTTTCATAGCAATGGTGCCAGGCTTCGCCAAAACCATTCCTCGACGAACATCTTCTCTCTTGACGCCTCGAATTAATGCCCCCAATTGATCACCTGCTCGACCTTCTTCCAATATCTGGTGATACATTTCTAATCCTATTTGTACAAAAAAAAAAGTTACTCGTGATCTCGTGATGTTCTTTTAGGCACGAAAGAAAATCTCACCAGTTATGGTAGACTTGGTGCTTTTCCCATACCCGATGATGTCGCACTCGGATCCTTTCTTCATGATCCCTCGCTCCACTCTTCCTGTGACCACTGTTCCGCGGCCTGTGGAAGTAGAAGAATTTCGCTTTGCAATTCGGAAACAATTAAGCTTGTTAAAAATGCTCACCAGGAATTGAATGCACAGACTCGATCGGAAGTAAGAAAGGTTTATCAAGATCACGTTGAGGTTCCGGCACGTTTTTGTCAATGGCGTCAAGGAGCTCGAGAACGGCCTTCGAGCCTTCAATTTTCCATGAGAGGAACATAATTTTCATTTTGGGTCTAAATTTACGTGCCAAACTACGAACCGATTTCTTGCTCACGGCCTTCAAGAGCACACAAGGCAGATCCTTTGATGATGGGAATGTTGTCGCCATTGTAGCCCATTTCAGTTAGCAGCTCTCGCAATTCCATTTCCACTAATTCCACCATTTCGGCGTCCGCAGCGTCCACCTGAGAAAAAGCCAGAAGGTTTCGGTCCACTCTTGAATACCGCATTATCAAGATACAAAACAGAGCATCTCAACCAAAAGTCACTCGAGTTGACCACAAGAACGCAGTAATAAATCTGTGAGTGATCACTGTACCTTATTAATGAACACCACGATGTGCGAGATCCCGATCTGTTTAGCGAGAAGAAGATGCTCCCTCGTCTGAGGCATGGTCCCGTCGGTGGCAGCCACCACTAAAATAGCACCATCCATTTGCGATGCACCCGTGATCATGTTCTGCAATTAGAGCACAGTTCACTTACTCATACACATTAAAAAAAAAAAAACCATACTAACTTTAATGTAGTCGGCATGACCAGGACAATCGGTATGGGAATAATGCCGGTTATCCGTCGCATACTCAATATGAGCAACATTGATGGTGATTCCTCGTTTCTTCTCTTCAGGCGCATTGTCGATCTCCGAGTATGCTTTCGCTTTAGCCAACTTCTTGTCAGCCAGCACTGAAAAAATCGAAGTGGGAGGAGATAAATGCTAGTTATCACCAGGAGAAAAAACACACAAGATAGGCTACTAGTCAAAAGCTTCTTGGAACGATCAAGAACAAGATAAGGCTTCACTCACCTCTTGTAATTGCAGCAGTCAACGTGGTTTTCCCGTGATCCACGTGGCCTATGGTTCCTACATTACAATGCGGCTTATCACGTTGGAATACCTTTTTCTCGGAAGCAGCTTGGGCGTAGAACCGCTGTGACACAGGCGAGCAGAACAGACTGCTTCGAATTCCACAGGATCGAACCTTGAGAAAAACGAAAGTTCTAGTAAGTCCGGCAATGAAGAAAAATTTCAAAAACTCACACTACAAAAACTGAAACGAGACGCCGACACCAGAACAGAAGCCATTGTAGGCAGGTAAAAATTTCAGCACTCGCGATTATTGCACCTGGAGCACAAGGAGGATTAACACATTAGATCAAAGCGAAACCAAATTCTGCAGTAATTTCTTCGAAAATCGCCCACGAAAATCATCTTGGAAAAATTAATCCGCGGACATAAATACTTCACATGTGAAAAATGCATCTTCCGATGAACAGAAATCTTACAGAAAATTATGCACCATCGTACAAAATAGTCAGAACGAGTGACTCCCGGCCGAGGATTCCGGCCTATACCTGTCCCGCGCTTCGAATAATAGAGGTTTTTCTGAAGCAGAATCACTTATTAATAGGGAATGGAACTCATCCATTACGTTTCAATGGGAAGGGATCCGAACAGACGCGGCGATCCCGCGAACGGCGTAAAGTGTTAACAACTTGCGGCATTTGTTGTCGCTTCGAGAGAAAATGCCTGGGAATATAAAAAAATTCGCACAACGAACACTGATATCAAGGCGGAAGATCACAATTTCGACGCCGAAGTAATCGAGAGTTTTGATTAGCTGTTGATCAGAAATATTTTTTAATACATCCTGATCATACAACTGGGCACCGCAAACATGGAAGCGGCCGTCTGCAATCCTAGCACCCGGACAGAAAGAGCCACACACTTTATGACAGAGCTCAAACTCATGCATCCAGCGATTCGAGTACAGTGCATAAAATTAAAATTCATGTTGAAGGTGTGCGGCGTCCAGATGGTGAAGACGATCTCGTAGATCTTCTAGTCCGCGTGATTTCACTCGTATCAACTTCGTCTCCGACATTCGACGCTCGCTCCTCAATGACCACTCTGTCCGGCAGTGAGACCCTGGCGACCTCTTGCGGCGGCCGCATGATCACTTGACCACTCCGCGACAAAAGCCGCTCACAACCCGTGTCAGCATCGTAACACACGCGATCGGTGTGCACTATCACCTGGTTACGTAAAAGCACAGGAGTATATAAACTTCGACATTAAATGGGCCATCTTATGTCTTAGGAATCCGTGTACCTTTTTCACATCATTTTTGATACATAAACCCTATGCAACAGTAATATGGTTCTGTAAGATGTGATCTTCAAACAGAACTTTTTCAGCTCAATCATTCATAGGTCAGACAACGTGCCACATTTAAGATTGACAGTTCACCGTAGAACTAAGTAATGGTCGTTTAGTTTACCCACCTTATCATGAGTTGCATCAATGCGCTGCCGTTCGATACCAGTAACGACCTCTGTGCATTCGGTAGCAACTGGTCGCGGGATCGTGCGTACAGGATCAGTCTGAGCAAAACTGTCAGTCAACGGTGGACGATGAACACTGGTGCACTCGCGCGCCACCTCGATCAACTCGCACGTCGGAGAAACGCACTCCTCCACCGTTAGCTGTCGCCCTACTGACACCACGTTGAGCGCTTCGTCGAAGAGCATGCAATCATTAGAACCTTGAGGGGGGAAAAAACGTCATCAGATTGAACCTACGCTTCGTGTACCTTGGCGCTAGGTGTCGCTAATATCTTATAGTAAATTTACTGTAGTTTCATAGTTTTTCAGAGCTGCTGGGTATTATTGCTGACCTCTTAATTCAGTGACACAGTCACTGCATACTGGCAGAGGAATGACGTCAATGGGTTCAGTTTGGGTTCCTTCAGTAAAATGCAAAGGCCAATGAATGCTGGTGGTCTCACAAGCCACCTCTAAGGGGTCACACATCTCCTCCACTTCATTGCATAAAAACACCAATTTTTCAGCCAAAAACACTGGGCCTTCCAAATGGTTGGGGTTTTGCTCAGTTAGCTCATGAAGCACTGGGATGGGTATACCACCAGAATGCCTGTGGTCCTTCTTGGTTTTGTTGACTGGACACACCCTGGCTGCACCTCCCCTGTCACATGGTGCAGTTGGTGGACAAATTTGAGCTACTTCTTTGGGACAGGTGGCCCCTGAACATGGTGGTGGTGGGTAGACCCTCTTGTCAGTTTCTTCCACCAGCACATTCCTGTTGACACCATTGGGACTCTAAAAATATTTATAAAAAATTTTCAACATCTGATATAAATGTATACTGTTTTAACTTTATGGATACCACTTGATTTCCTCCTGGAAAATCTGCCCCACCATGTTCCCTACACACCACACAGTCATCCTTCTCCTGATGTACCAGCTTGTAAGTTACATTGCAATCCACACAGTAAATTATGTGTGACCTCAATGGCCTTTGTTCCATGGTGCCCATATTTATTGTTGGTACTGAAGTAAACTTCTGAGTAAAGGGTTAACAATAAAGTTTGGGAACGTACCTTTGCTGATCTCAACAAGGTATCCTTCACTGATACTCTGGACCCTTGAGTAGTGATTATCTACAAGGTGATTTGACTAGTGAAGGTTGACCATGTGAGCTGTTGGAATTTGTCTCTGCTTCTGAAAGATCCAGACTTTTTGGATGTTTGGACACCAGATCAAATTATTCTCATATATGCCCAAAGCCAATCTTTCATTTACTCCTTCAGGTTCAGTTGAAGTCAAATTCTGAATATGGAGGTGGATGATGAGTCATTCAGTGATTTGTCTGTTGATAGTGATGTTATGGGACCCACAGCAGAGCCTATTAACCTTCATGACCTGAAGGGAAATGCTGAGCATGAGGCACTTCAGGGGGACACAAACATAGATGGTATCCCAAAATGATCATCACGGTATTTGCAAATAATTGAAATTGAATGACTTCCTGCAGATTCAGAGATTCTCAGACAAACCATGGCCAGACCAGCTGTACAGCACTTTCTGGAAAAGGAACTTGAGCAAATGAAAACTACAGGAAAGTTAGTATGCTTTATATATTGGCAAAAATTATTTCCACCCTACCTGTATCATGCATTTTTTTTTTACAAAGATTCAAGGGGTCAATTGGAGGAAGTTTATGCTATGAAACTCATAAACTATCCACTAAGCCTGAGGTTGTGTCTTGTGAAGATTTAGCAAAGAAGGATGTGATCCTTGAGCAAAAATCTGGAGTGGTTGCTTTTGAAAAGGGCGGAGACAGTCTTGCAAAAGGTAAGATCTCCATTTTAGAATTCTCTCACTGGTGAAGATGAAAAGGCACAAAATACTGCATTTATATTTTGCCTCTTCAAGTGAAATGTGTTTGAAAGAACAGATGAATTGATTTATCTAACCCTTTGGTGATATGGGAACTAATTATTTGAACTTAATCTATATCCAAACAAAATTCATTATTTGACATGATGAAAACTGAACTACAATACAGTATTGTATCTTAATTAAAAAGTATTTGATTCCTTCGTTGATGTTTTTCAGGTAGGAATGGGTTCCTTCTGAAATAAAGTAAAAAAAAAATTCTCTCTGTTAAATAATTTTGACCTCTGGGGATTTCAAACTTATATAATGTAAGATTGTTTAATTACAGGGGATCATTCTGGGATCAATGAACAAAGTCCCATGACCATTGTGAAGAGGTTGAATCAAGTCCAAGCTGCCTTCTCCAGTAGCAGCATCAAGACCACAGACACCTATGAGATCCCTGCTTTTGAGCCAGTGGAACCTTTACCACTTCCTTCAACCACATCCCTTATTCAACCTGCACACACACTAACAAGCAATACCAAAGTACCTGTGGCTCAGCAGAGTTCAATCATTCTTTCACAGTCAACTTCTGTAGCCTCATTAGTGCCTCAACAAGACCCTGAGGATCTTCTCACACAATTAAAATCCTCAGGAAAGAGTCCTTTGTCCCCTCCAAAGCCTGTGGGGGACATGATCAAGAAGTTTGAAGGAATTACTTCTAAAACAAAGTTTGGGAAGTGGACCAAAGCATGTGTAGCAGTCACTTTGGTCAACCAGAGGATAACCTTTGGGGATGTGATCAACTGCTTGACAGTTAGATCCAGGAAAAGTCACTCTGGTGCAAGAATAGACTTCCCTGGTACATATGCCATATGACATAACACTTTGACAAATTCCTGTGTTTGAATTTTTTGGGAATTAATTCTTCTTGTAGGTTCAGTCTTGAAGTCAAGGATTCCAAGGGTGAAAGATACAAGATATCCTCATTTGAACATGAATAAGCATTCAGGAATCACTCCAAGCAGGTCAATGGTGACCCCCAAACTGGCTACTAGGTGTCCATTGGATCCTCTGGCAGATATAGAAAAAGTGAAGAGAAGCTTGGTTGGCTGGAATGAGTGGTTGACCATTTCACTGGACAAAGTCTACTTGGCTTTATTGCAACAGTAAAATAATATTCACCATTTTAAATAAGTTGTATCTCAATTGAAAAAAATGTTATCTCTGTATATATAGTTGCAAGATGAATTGGTCCAATGTGGATGAGGAGACAAAAAGGGCTCACAAAACACAAGGATTTGTGAAAACCCTAGACAAGGAGGAATACACCATCAGTCAGAATATTGCTGCACTCTCAACCACCACTCAATTTACTGCCAATGACTTCAGAAAACTCTGTGCCCTATTTAAAAACTACACCAACCAATTGCAGGTGAACATGGTTCTTCAGCATTGGAAACCCCCCTGGTCAAAAGTTAATCATGGTTTCAGGCTTTGGCAGACTTTCTGCCAACCAGGGATGTCAAAGTGGGCATGGCCAAGTCCTTGCATGCATTCTTTGAGGTGGCCAATAAACTCATGGACCTGAGTGAACTAGCCATGCACAAGTCATTGGGTGCAAAAGGAAATAATGACTGTTTTGGAGCAGAATTGAGTGACTGTAAGGCCAACACCATCCAGTGGCTGAATGGCAAGGGTGATGCAGTTCTGAAATCTCTTCAACAAGAAGCAGTAAGCATTTTTTCTCATATAGTACTGAACTTCAATGAGCTACCACAAATTTCTATCAAAACTTATATGAGATGCATCTTTTCTCCATTTTGAAGCATCCACTGTATTGTACACTCATGAGTCATGATACACATACAGTGGCCCCCTGCCTATAACAGACCTCCCGTGTAAGGGATTTTTGCCAAACAGACCAGCTCTGATGCTAGCAGTTTTTCCTCCCGCCCAACAGACAAAATCCGCCAAACAGACTTCTTCTGGTTTAAAATTAGTGTTGAAAATTGAATTTTTTAATTTTTTATGTAATTGAATTTGTGTAAAGGACTTTTTGTCCAACAGACTTGTCCCTTGCACGGATCAAGTCCGTTAGACGGGGGTTGACTGTATAGCATTGAATATATTAGTAGGTTATTGCTCATTCAAACCCAACTACTTCATAGAGTATAAACCTCCACAAAGATTCTTGCAGATATGTGTGCAATATTTGTCTGCTGGGGATCATGAGTTGAAATTTGATTGCAATACAATTTTAAATTGATTTTTTTCAAAATGATTTGAATGACTAGGTGTGATGCAAATACTTGTTAATTGTTTTGAAGCATAGCTTCTTACTGACTTTATGATTTTTTAGCAGACCCAAAATATCACAAAGCTTTCATTCATTAAAAATGCCACTTTTCTTAATTCAAAATGTCTAATGCAACTTTTTTGGTGTGACTTGACATGAATCATTTTTATAGTTAAATCATCTTGAATATTTTGCAGGAGCTTGGGAAACCTGTGAGAAAACCCCTGCAACCATTCATGGAGGTTGTAGTCAAGAAATCAACCACAAGTTCCCCAAGTTTCAGGTGCAACAGACTGACTTTGTTCACACCTGCAGCTGCTTCCTGCAGAGTTGCCAACAGAAAACCTCTGAGCAAGCGCAGAAGCAAGTCTTCTGTACACAAGGGCCTCAACATGTCTGAGACCAAGACCCACATTGTCTCTGGCATCTTACAACAAAGGACTCCAAAAATGACCAAGATTGAAAAAGATTCAAAGCTCAACATGTAAAATTCATTTAAAACACTAGAATTATTTTTTTATATTTTTTAATTTGTTTTTTGCTTTTCAGGATTGCGGATAAGGTGGAAAAGTTCATACATGACTTGCTGAAGGAGCAGGACACAGATTTCAAGAAGTGACACCTTTATTTTTCACATTTCAACAGATATACACAACTATAAAGGATTGAAGCTAGAGGATATTCATGCAGATGTCACCTGAAGCCACAGATGGAAGAAAATTTAAGAACCCGCCCACTCCAGAGGTTATTCTTGTCACCTGGAATTCACTATCATGGATAAAAGAAATAGAGTCCCTACTATTTTTCTGCACTCTGCAGTGCTCTGTGCCAAGATTTTTTTTTTCGCGCATTGAGTTCCACACACCCACCCTGATTCTCAAAGGTCGCCCAGTTGATATTTGGGAAGTGTCCCACTTGGTCTAAAAGTGGATCGCATGTTAATCCTCTTTTTGTTGTGCTGGGTTCAAATGGTACCAAGGCACCATCACAGACATCCACCAACACCAGCAGAGGTCTCCAAGTTTGTGTCACCTCTGCCTTTACCAGTTCAGACCTCAGAGTACCCTGAAGTGTTTCAGAATGTGTATGCCATCAGGAGTTTTAGGAGGAAAGAGTTGGATGACCCTCTCAAACTGAGGTCAGCTCTGAGGAAGCCCACAGTGCAACCTGTGATCCCTGGGTTGGAACACCCAAGGGTTACCTTCTGGTCTGAGCTGGAGGTGAAAAATATTGACACTGGTGGAGTTAGAGTCAAGTGTTTGTCTGGTATTGGGGCTGAGAGACTCCAGCAGCAGAGACCACAGGTACACTTGACTTCATTCAGGCATACATGCAAAAGAAAACTAATCATTCTTGAAAGGTCAAGAGACACAAAAGTGACCTGACTCCAGGGCACAAGGAAAACTACTTGAAGCACAGCAGACCCCAGAGAGTGAGACCATCCAAAAGCTTCTCTCATCCTTCAAGACAAGATGTCCACCACCACCAGCAGCAGCATCTGAATAAACTACCTCAGCACCACCACTGGCAAGTTCCTTCCTTCAAGCCCAGCAGCAGGCCTGATCATCAACACCACCACCACCACTATTTGCACCATCACCACCATCACCACCACCAGAAGACAGAAGAACCCAGTGTTGAGTCAGTGAGAATAAGGACCAGCAAGGAGAAGAGGACAGTGATGGTCACTGTGGTGATGGTTGTGGCTTTTGTGGCTTTTGCTGTTGGGGGAGTCTTGATGGGAATCTATTTTGCACCTGAAATCCAAGCTTTGTGTGAGTATTATATACAATTCTTTTTCAATCTATACTGAAACCCTCTTTCAAAACACAAAAAGTTTTTAAATAATCAGTGGAAATGTACTGCATGTAGAATTTCCTTGGAAAGAAACACAAATTGGGAAAAGAAAGCACATGCTTTACTGGAATAAAGACTGGAATAAAATTGTGTATTGTATTATTCTGAAGATAACCAAATATCAGCTAAAGACAAACACTTTTGGTTAAAAAAAAAGATTCTACTTCATGATGAAAGCATAAACTTCAACAGGTTTTCAGGGGCTGTCTGGCATTTTCTCTTCCATCCTATATAATAAGTGCAAACTTTTCATCACCTTTTTTTGTTGTTGCCAAAGGCTGTGGAGGGAATGTGTCACATTCATCTCCCCTCCTGGGGTGACACATCTCTCCTACTTTGTGGGGGGCTGCTGAACCAAAACAAAAAACAAAACTCCTTGAGTTAATTATGTGGGTCTCCCATGTAAACTTATTCTCAGGAGCCAGCAAAGAGGGCTCATATGTATGTGGGCTTGGCAATAAGTTTTTTTTTCTTACAAATTTGTTGTATGCAGAATTACTGTTTTTATTTCTAGTGCACCTATTTATTAATTCCCTGAATAAGATAATGTAGAAATCTTACACCACCTGCAATTAAAACCAATGGAACTGCTCCATTATTGTTAAAAAAAGCTTCATGCTTTCAAAGAAAACTACTGTATATGAAATGTAAAAATGTGTTTTGTGAAACCAAAAAAAATCTTAACTATTAATGGTCATTTTGAACCATTTTTAACTGTAGATCTCATATTAGAAGCTGTGTGACAACAAGGAAGAAAAATTCCCATTGAAAATCAAGGCATCCTTTCATTTTTTTTTAAATAAAAAAGCATGGAGTTGATTTCCTTTCAACTATCTGAAACTTTTAATTCATGCCATCTTGCATTTTTTTATCTACAGTAATATCCATAAAAATCCTAGATGCCATACACCCTGAATAATGAAAATGCTTTTGTAGTTTGAACTGACTCATACTGATGTTGAAGAGAAAGAAGATCCCCATTGAAAATTCTGATTTATTTCCCAAAATATAAATAAGAGCATTGGGTTGATGACACTTGGATCAATTATCTGTGAGTGTTCAAAAATTCATAAAACACTATACTGTATAACATGAAAAAGCATTATAGATACATCTGATGCAGTACTTTATTGAGTTGAGGGATTAATTTCCCTACTATATGCATGTATAGTGTATATATATAGGAAAATAAGTAGGGTTCCAAATTCCATTGGAAAAGGCAGGAGCAGGCATTTGATGATGATAATGATGACAAAGGCGACCGCAACGGATGCTTTGTGGCCCTTTGTTCGCATGGGTCGTCTATATTATAAGGATGAAAGGGAATTGTGTTTGGGATCCCTGGGATCCCCCACAGCAGGGGTGCTATGATTGCCGGCCAGCCTCCAGCAAAAGCAGAAGCAGGAGGAATGAGGGAGCTGGAATAAAAACAACAACAAAAAAATGCCTCCTTTATTGTGCCTGTCTCCCTTTTCTGCCCTTTTACTTCTCACTTGTTTCCTTCATATATACAACCTCCTTTTCTTCATCCATCTCTCTCTCTCTCCCTCTTTCTCCTTATGCAGTTTCCTCTTCCTTCTTTTCTTTCTCCTTTTCTGGGGTTAAGGGCGTAGAGACCCCCATGTTGTTATCCCAGTGTCCCTCCATGGTGATGATGGTGGAGGTGGAGGAGAAAGTGTTGCCAGATGGCAGAGTTGAGTTGCTGTACCGCACTGAGGGGTTTTACTGTACTGGTGCACATGAGCTGGACTGGATAAATGAAGGTCAAACTATAAATAATGGAATACTATATGGATCCACAATTGAAAAAATAGTCCATGCCTTTAAAAATAAGTGTTACTGTATTTTATAAACACACCCCACTGATGCAAAGTATGATTTACCTGAAGATCCATTATTAATTCATTGGGTTGGGTGGGGAGGGGGTTTGGATGCGGGAGTTCTGGTTATCCCTTGTGAACGCTGAAAAGCGGCAAATAAAGTTTTCTGTTCATTCATTGATTCATTCCAGAAAGTATCCAGCAGACAGTCACAAGAGAATGCATCTTGCAATACATACAAAAAATTTGTATACAGTATTTTACTGTGTCTTATGTTTAGCTGATACTAAATTTTAGAAATTAAGGTTCTCAGCTTTATGGAAATTATAAAAATTTTGGAAACCACTAATAATTTATGAGAAGGTACTAAACATGAGTATTTTTGGAACTTCTTCAAAAAAGGAAAACTCAATGTTGTATTGAGTAACTCATATGCCTTTTCTCAAAATTCTTCAAATAAATTTTGTTCAAACCATGCAGTAGAATTAAAAAAAAAGTTTTCTTCAATAACATGTAGTATTTCTTCAGACAATAGATGCTTGAATGCAGGTGATTCTGAAGCTGAATGAAGATTCTTTTAAAACGGTTTTGCATTTCAAAAGAGGTTTGAGGAGAAGACTGAGAAGCATTAAAAAAAGGAGATCAACTTCAGATTTTTTTCCAATCTGGCTTCCTATACAGTCAGAATCTTTCTTTCAAACTAGAAAGCAAGTGTTATTGTAATGCCCGCCCATTTTTTAAATTATGACTGCTTAGAGTTGGTGGAACCATTGGATGTATAGTTCTTAATCTAGTATTTAGTTACTATCATTATCCAGTTACTGTCAAATATGGGAATGCCTAATTGCATTTGATAAGGAGCCAACTCATCATGATAAGTTTATATTGAATCACTGCCTTTCATTTTTGCTTTTCACATTAATTTATCTTTACTGGCCTTTCTAAATAAAAGACTTTCTGAGTCCATCAAACTCTAAAGCTGTGCCTTAATAAAATCTTAGTAAAATAATCCCAGAAAGTCTTTAGGAGATTCTAAATTTTTCCAAGAGTTTGGAACCACAGACAGAGGGTACAATAACTCATCCATGCCATTTCCCAGTTGGCAACCCTGTCATGTACTGTAGCATAGCATCAGGAAGGGTCTCAGAAAACCAGCAAGAAAGGGGATAGTGTATTCCTGCACCCTTTATTGTATCAAGCAGGGGCTGTGCTGCTGGGCTTTCTTTCAGTGTCTCATGTACCCAGGACTCTCTTGTTCAAAACCACAACTCATTGCCAGCTTTTTCATTAATGTTTAAAATTTTAGAAAGTGACAGCTACAATTGCAAAAGGATTCTTGCTTCAACCAAGCAGGAGAAAGGTTGAGTCCTCACTTAACAGTGCGAATATTATGCTGTGCTTTCAGAATAAAATGATGGATGACATGTTTTCTAAAGTTAACTTAATTGAAAATGATAATTTGTGGAATTCCACAGCTAATTATTGCACATTTGCTGGAACAACCAAAAATGCTATGAAGCAGTGACAATCCCTTAAAATTGACATGGTTTGGGCAACTTGAAATTCAAAATGCATTTTAAAAAGATTCAACTTGATCATGAGGCAATTTAATTTCCTGAAATTAAATCGATACTATTCAGAGTGCTTGAAAATTGACCCCTACTTTGGGTATAGTTGATTAAAAGTATTCATCATAGCCTTGAAAATGTAAGTTATACACTTATACTGTATCAAAAAAAAAATATTCTTCAGGAGAACAATTATAGAGCTGTTAATTTATGAATGTTCAAAATGTAGTATTTGTTTTTACAAATTTGGAAAATTTTCCAAAGCTGTTGGCAATTTTGATACCTGGAAATGATGTGAATATAGTAGAAATTCTTTTTTTTCGCCAAACTTTGTCAGGTCCCAATGGAATAAAATGTTTTCTGAATTTGGATATAACATATAGAGTATCTTCTTAATTTCTTTCAAACACCTGTTTTTCCAGGACCTAGTTTTTTTTTTAGTTGAGAGGCTCCTGCAGAACATTTCTGTAGAAATTCCTGCGCAGTAAAATGCCAAGATTTTTCATTCAGTTTAGGTTTTAATTATTTCCCCCAGAATCACTAGAAGGTGTGTGAGACTGTCAGCATCTTTCCCCACCCCTGAAATATACATATCCCAGCATAGCTAACAAAGATGTGAATGGTCAGGAGCCATCCTGGTGCACACCTTCATGCTCCCAGGGGGTATAAAAGGCAAATCCATGTCTTCACTCCAATTCCCCAATGAGTACAAATCTCTAGAATAAGAGGCAACACAAGCCAAATTAACCATTCTGTTCATAAATTACTTTTTCTAGTTTTATCTGAGAGTTTCTAGTTTTATCTGAAGTCATCACAAACAAGATATTTTACTCCCTTGAATATTATTTATGCATTACTGAAAAATTGAAAGTGATTTTTTTCAATTTTTTGAAGCAATTATTATTTTGCATGAAATATCTGCAATGATAAATAAATTTTTCACTTTCTCTTGGGGTGATTTTACTTTAATCACTCTGTGGTCCGAAGGAGTTTCCATTTTCTTATAAAAAATTTGAAGGGTCAAGTTGCATGTGAATTTCTGTGAAATATGGAAGACCCCAAAATTAAGGAGACCTCATCTGAACAATGCTTGATTTCTTATATAGAGTAAAATGGATTTCCATGAAAAGTTTCAAGTTATTGATGGTGAAAGTGTTCAAGTTTATGTGCATTCTCCCCTTTGAGTTTTCAAAAATGTTAAGATTAGTACTGGAAACAAGACTTTGCATGGATTTCCAAAAAAAAAGAGGAGAAAAGCATACTATACATAGGCGGCTGGCTTACCTATTTTCCTGTGGGAATTTCACCTGCTTCTCCAGATCAGGGATTTATTCCCAGAAAATCCTATAAACCCTTTGAGCAGACATGAATAGCTCTAAATATAGATTATGTTCCTGGAATGAGATAAATGATGACGAGCTCATTAAGAAAATGATAAACATGTTTGCCTTTACCCTAAAAGCCCTTATGGAATCTCATTACAAATTCTTGGAATTGTCAAAATTAATTATGTGATTGAATCAGAAATCCATCAAAATATGTTCTATGATACCCAGCACTTCTGGAATTATCCTGACATCACAGTAAAAGTTCTAGCTGGGAATATTATGCCATTCCAGCTTTTAAAAAATATGTAGACTTAGTGAATGCAGTACTCTACATTTAGGAATTTCAGAGTCCAATTCAAGACAATTAAAGCAATTTTTTGAAGTTTATTTTCCCTTATTGAAATGTTCATTATCCGAATTCTCACATAGATTATACATAAATATTTTAAAATGGTTGTAGCAGCCATGATATTGATGCTGCATAAACAACAATAAATTCCAGTGTTCACTTTCAAGTTTTAAATCACATTTTAGCCCATTGATAATAATTTCTTCTGACCTTTTGCCTATAGAACTTAAGACTATTTTTTCACTTACAACTGAGGTGTGAGGAGTTCATATACAACATTTTACTCACAATGTTTACCTCAAGAATACAAGAAAAATACTACAGGTCCACTTTAGGAGAAATCAATGCATATAATAAAGATGAGAAAAATCCTATGTTTGTTTCTTTCAATACATGTACTGATGTACTGTAAAAGTACATCTTACACAAATTTACTAGCATCAAAGGGAGACCTTTTCCTCTATCCGCAAAAGTTCTCAGCAGGGTGTGTGGATGTTTCATATATAACCTCTGGATGCTTCTTCTCTTTCCTCTTTGCCTTGGGTTTCCCTTCCTTCGCATCTTATGCTGGGGGGGGTTATATGTTTCTCTCTTTCTCATATGTCTCTCCCTAGTTGTGGTATCCAGTTGCATTTTACTTCCTTCCTCCTTTCTTCCGTCCTTTCTTGTGTTTGTACTGTATACAGGTTCCTCATGTCGCCCTTGTGGTGTATATGAGCAAGGAGGGATATACTGAAGTTTCTGCTGCTGGGCTGCAATTGAAAGGCTTTATTTTTTTGAATGCATTAGTTATGAATGAAAGTTTCTTATATATTGCATCCAAATTAGGCTGAATTGTATAGGAAATTTTTTTTTTATAGTAAAATGGATGCAGTTATTTACTTTCTTTTTGGAAGAACAGACCAACTTCTGAAACTTGGATATTACATACAGTATACTCTTGAAGTTTTCTTCAAGATGACATCCTGCCTTTTAAAAACTCTTCTGCTTAATAACAATTGAAATTAACTCTAAGAAAATATGGTTATATACTCTTTATGAAGAAATCAATGCAGTTTTTTATTTTTTTTGAATGACACACAAAAGTTTGCAAGTTTGGTATGACAGATCATGGAGTGGTCTTCAAGATCCTCTCTTTTGAAAATGTTTCTGTTTGATCACAATAATTATATTGCACTCTAAGAAGATAAAGTTATATAAAGTATATTTTTATGGACAAATCAGTGCATTTTTATTTATTTTTCAATGACCGACTAAAATTTTTTTTACTTTGGTATATTACAGCACTCATGTAATTTTCTTCAACACAACCTCCTCTCTTTTGAAAGCATTCATATTTAAGCGCAATCATATACTGAACAGGAAGAAAATAAGGTCATATACAGTCAACCCCCACCTAACGGACGTGATTTGTGCAAGAGACGAGTCTGTTACACAAAAAGTCCTTTACATGAATTCAATTACATAAAAAATAAAAAATTTCAATTTTCAACACTAATTTTAAACCAAAAGAAGTCTGTTTGGTGGATTTTGTCTGTTGGGAGGGAGGAAAAACTGCTTGCAGACTGTTGGGCGGGAGGAAAAACTGCTTGCAGAGCTGGTCTGTTTGGCGAAAATCCCTTACATGGGAGGT